GGCAGAGAGATCTAACATAGAACACCGTTAAATCCAGAGTTCTGCTGGTAAATATATTAATACTAATGCCTTTTTTCTAAATAGCTGAGCAGAAGGGACAAATGAATAGTGTTATCAATGGCCTGCAGGTGCTGTATTCAGGGTTTGTTTTATCTATTGCTCAAATATAAGTTGGCATTATGTGTTTTACGTACTTTGAAAGCTAACATGGGTAGCTATTATCTGCCTCCTTGGGCTATTAAAATCTGACAGTTGTCAACAAGAATATGCCTAGCAATAACATTGCCCAAGTGTTGGTGGATTTCCCCACCTCTCAATAAATGCCATTAAGTGTTGCATGTGAATCTGATATATTTATGTAACTTGCTATGATAGGGAAAATTGGATGCCCTACGTTGTATAAGTGAATTCATCTTTCTGCTAGCGCAAATCCACTATGGCATATAACCCATTGTTGTCCTTCTAATTATTATTTTGCTACTGCCATTTAATCTATTGTGTGTGGTGCACTTACAGCTTCTGGCTGCAAAACTAACATTCAACATAACCTCTTAAAAACAACAAAGACACTGTTTTAAAGCTTCTCTTGCTGAGAGCTTTGTTTACTGCACAGTATTGGGATTTTGCCCATGCAGATCCTTTAACTGATTGCTGTCTTTCTGTTTCTGTAAAGACATGCTTTTAATCTCACCATTGTAAGGGAAATCCTCCCAGAAACTATTGTTAAATGCTTCTCACTCCCCCGAGTGATGGGAAAATCCAGGGGCAGTATTACCAGATTTTGTTTCCTAGGGAGCAAGAGAGCAAGGAAACTTACAGCAACTTAGCAAGATATGTTTTGTTGACAAATAGGCAAGCACAGCGTAAGTGGATGCATACAGACTCTCCCTAGAAGGTAGCAGATCTACTATTCTACATCAGATCCCCAGATAGGGACCCCCTGCAGTCCTAGGTGCTTTGCCTTCAGCCAAATCACAGCAGTCTCAACTCACATTTTGGGTAACTTAAACAGCAGGCAGCCATTGCGGACAGGAGCCATATAAACTCATAGACTCACAGAGCTGGAAAGGACCCTGAGGATCATCTAGTCCAACCCCCCTGCAATGCAGGAATATGCAGGCATCCCTTACGAGGATCAAACCTGCAACCTTGGCATTGTCAGCACCACACACTAACCAAATGAGCTATCCTGTGCGTATGCCTGACCTGGTTGATGTGGGGGCCATGCCTGTTTTCTTTGAACTCACTGTTGATAGTGTAGACAATTGCTCCCATCTTTTAAATATCTGAATTCATCCACAAATCTCACTTGTTCTTTCGCTATTCCACACCTTGAAAATTCTTTCAATACCTTCTCATCAATCACACATTCTATCTGCATTAGTATCTCAGTAGCTTCCTTCTGCATTATTTCCATCTTGTCAATATACTTCTTAAACAGATCACAAAACTCCAGTTGTGGTATAACAGTGCTCTGCTATTGTCTTCCAAGTCTTGGGAAATAACTGTAGCAATCTTATGAACACAGACTAAGATGAGACAACTCCATCTCCCATCTCCCAGAGCACTGCTATACCATAGCTGGAGTTTTGAGAAATTTCACTTTCTTTGTTTATCCAGTTTATGTTCACCTCTTCTTCTCAAAGGAATACAGCATGGCAAACACATCAACAATAAAAAAGCATTTTAAATACAGTTATAAAAACATCATGTCAACCAGTGATTCTGGATGTCACAAACAGTATATTTTAGCCATCAAACGCCTGGGTAAACAGAAACATTTTAAAAATTGTCCTGAAAGTTAGCAATATTGGAGACAGACACACCTCACCAGGGACAGCATTCCACAAATAGAGAACCACCACCGAAAATACCCTGTCATCAACCAGGCAGCTCCCAGCGGCAGCACTACTGACAAAGTCTCCCCTGCCAGTCATAGGGTGTAATATGGTTGATACTTGTTTGTGTGATCTTCAATTTGTTATCCAATATAGCGCATTCAACATAAATTCTTGTGGCACCTGAAAGCCTAACACAGCATAAGCTTTTGTGGCCCGTGGTCTTCATCAGATGCATGAAACATTATCCTGAATTAGCAAGCATAGACACAATTAAAGATTCCAGTTTATGCATCTGATGAAGTGGACTGTGGTCTATGAAAACTTATACCTTGGCTTTTAAGCTTCTACAAGGTTCTTTGTTGTTTCTGCTACAACAGCCGAATATGACTACTTTTCTGGAAATTATGACACCTACCTCTTTCTCGGAATAGCTGTTGACATACCATCATTATTAGATCTGTATTGTATGTCTGGAATCTTCTTAAATCATTTATTAGGAACACAATGTACTTTTGTAGCACTTTTATCTAAGTGCTTTTAAAATGTGTGTAAAAGTAAGAACCAAGATGTGCCTCTTATGCAGAGCTAAGTAAAAGGAACCATGAAAAAGGGCACCAGAAAGTGTTGCCAGATTTGCATCCTTTTATGCCATTGCACTCACAGGAATCACTGGGTGTGCATCACACCCACCATGTGGTCTCCTGTGAATTATTTGTCCCAGCATTGCCTCTCTACATTTAGTGGTATGGAGCAAACACAGCAGATTTGTTTACCTGAGCTCTTGAATCCTCCTATGTAGAAGGATCAACTTTTCTTTCTACTGACCCAAACATGGAAAGCTATGGAAAAGGTGGGGATGAGGCAGCTTTCCCCCACCCCACCATCAGCCTTCTTCAGATAGGCATTCCATCAGGAGGAATAATAATAATTATTAATTTAATTTGTATACTGCCCTATACCCGTAGACCTTAATTCCGGAATTAAGATTGCCGGAAGAAATATCAACAACCTCAGATATGCAGATGACACAACCTTGATGGCAGAAAGTGAGGAGGAATTAAAGAACCTTTTAATGAGGGTGAAAGAGGAGAGCGCAAAATATGGTCTGAAGCTCAACATCAAAAAAACGAAGATCATGGCCACTGGTCCCATCACCTCCTGGCAAATAGAAGGGGAAGAAATGGAGGCAGTGAGCGATTGTACATTCTTGGGCTCCATGATCACTGCAGATGGTGACAGCAGCCACTAAATTAAAAGATGCCTGCTTCTTGGGAGAAAAGCAATGACAAATGTAGACAGCATCTTAAAAAGCAGAAACAGCACCTTACCAACAAAGGTCCGTATAGTAAAAGCTATGGTTTTCCCAGTAGTGATGTATGGAAGTGAGAGCTGGACCATAAAGAACGCTGATCGCTGAAGAATGGATGCTTTAGAATTATGGTGCTGGAGGCAGTGGCGTAGCATGGGGGGTGCAGGGGGGGCCGGCCGCACTGGGCGCAACATCTGGGGGTTAGGGTTAGGGGGCGCAAATCCACGGGTTAGGGGGTGCAAATTACTTGCCTTGCCCCGGGTGCTGACAACCCATGCTACGCCACTGGCTGGAGGAGACTCTTGAGAGTCCCATGGACTGCAAGAAGATCAAACCTATCCATTCTTAAGGAAATCAGCCCTGAGTGCTCACTGGAAGGACAGATCCTGAAGCTGAGGCTCCAATACTTTGGCCACCTCATGAGAAGAGAAGACTCCCTGGAAAAGACCCTGATGTTGGGAAAGATGGAGGACACAAGGAGAAGGGGACCACAGAGGACGAGATGGTTGGACAGTGTTCTCGAAGCTACCAGCATGAGTTTGACCAAACTGCGGGAGGCAGTGGAAGACAGGAGTGCCTGGCGTCCATGGGGTCACGAAGAGTCGGACACGACTAAACGACTAAACAACAACAACAACACCCGTAGATCTGGGGGGGGGGGGGGAGGCAGCACCACAACAGAAGACTCAGCCCCTGAACTATGCTCATTCACTGTGTTCATGATCATCACTGTGTTCATGATTCACTGTCTTCATGATCAGGAACCCTGCACAGAGAGAGCCTTCCCCTTTGCATATACAGCTATAGGTGTGGGGTCACTCTTCACATTATAAAATACTGTAAATGCACCCTGCCCAGACAGAACCACTATGCCACTCATGGGCATTCATATTACTAAAATGAATGTCTAAGGGATCAGTAGTATCCAGAGAAATTCCATTCCCTGGATTGCACCTTAGTGTTTTCGCGTACGATAAGGAAATGGTTCCCATTCATTCCTATGGAGAAAGTGAAGCAGCAGCGCTCCTCACACATCCCTGTTTACCAGCCCGTCATTTCCTTTTGCCGACCCACTGAGCTGGGGCAAATTGTGGCCCTCCGGATGAAGGTGGGACTCCAATTCCCATCAGCCTCAGCCAGCACGGCCAATGGTCAGGGATGATGGGAGCTGGAGTCCAAAGAACAACAACAGGTTGCCAGAGCCAAACAGCTCGGCGCTCTGCCTGTGGCCAGACCTCAGACGTAGGCGCGAGAGGCGCACAGGGCTGCGTGCGGGTACAGAGAGAGAGAGAGAGAGAGAGAGAGAGATATGAGGGCGAGGAGAGATGAGGCTGCCACTAGAGACCGGAGCAGCCGGGATTGCGGCAGCCGCGAAAGGTGAGCGAGGCGGCGGCGGCGGCGGCGGCGGCGGCGCAGCTGTAGGCAGGCTCTGCTCCGGGCAGCAGCGCGCAAAGTTCCCCCAGGAGGGCAGCCTTCCGGGTTCCTCTCCCGCCTCCCGGAGCGGGGTATGAAAGGATGCCCTGATGGAGCGCAGCGGCGGGCTCCAGCTGCCCCTCTGCGGCCGGCGGCTCCCGCCTCGCCAAGCAGGCAGCAACGTCGCGGGGAGCCGATGGGGCGCCGTAGAGAGACCGCGAAGCAAACACCGCTTGGCGCCCTGAGGCGGGCGGCGCGCGCCGCTTGCGCCGAGTGAGAGGCGATGTTCAGCAGCAGCAGGCCGGCGGCGGCTCCCTAGGCTGGGCTGAGCAGCGCTGGAAGCTCTGAGGGGGCCTCTCTCGGCCGCCTGGGCAGCGCCACCCGGGGAGCTTCGCGGGCCCCGCTGGCTTGCTGGGCGGCGAGGCGGCAGCGGAGGGATGGGCTGCGCTCCCAGCATCCACGTCTCGCAGAGCGGCGTGATTTACTGCCGGGACTCGGACGAGTCCAACTCCCCGCACCAGACCACCACCATCTCGCAGGGCACCGCCGCCACCTTGCACGGCCTCTTCGTCAAGACCGACGCGGCCGACTCCATCCCGTCGGTCCTCGCCTACCAGAGCCGGCAGCCGCCACCGCCGCCACCACCAAACTGCCCGGCCCACAGGCGCAGGAAGCCCGCCGGCCGAGAAGGCAGGAGCGGGGTGCACCACTGCTGTGGCGTCGAGGCGGAGACTCAGACCAGCCAGACCGACGTCAAGGTAAAGGAGGCGAGGGGCGGGTTGGTGCCAGCACCGCGCAGGACAGACTTGGGGGGCGAGAAGGTGGGAGACTCAGCTGGGGTGGGGGGCATGAGGTGAAGAAAAGGGTGTGTGTGTGTGTGTCCCGTTGCCTTACCAGGGGTCAAGGCGACCGCTTGAAGGAACTACCCTAAGCAGGCTTGGACGAATATTGTCATTTTTAAAATCCACCCCAGTGTGGGGCCTATGCACTGGAAGGCATAAACTTTTGACTGGCAAATCTTTTCCCCGTGGGACACCCTCAATGGCTATTAATTTGAGGTGGCCACCCAAGGAGGGCCTTGGGCTATGGGAGGTGTCCCACTGGGGTGTGAGTGTGTGTTTTTGAAACTTTAGTCTGTGCCAAGTTTACCACCTTATTCCCTTTCTGACCGACTGTCTGACTGCTAAAGGGCAACTTGGGGTGGGTGACTTCCCCCCAAAAAGTGTCTTTTAGATGGGTGTCTCTTTACTTGTTTCCCAGGAGATGAGCAGCAAGAGCCACAAAGAGAGGAGGGGTAAGGAAATGGCAGCATCAAGTGCGCTCTGTGTTTTTGTCTCCTACATGGTGCTGTTTTCACTGGCAGTGGCAAAAAGCCTCTCCTGCTCTGAACGGAAGAGAAGGGAGCATGGTGCTGAAAAGCTGCAGCTTGTGCTGGGCAGAGATGCTGCTGCAGATGCACATGGGATGCAGCTGAAAGGAGCTGTTGCCATGGTACCCCAGTGACTCACTCCTGCTACAGGTCCCTCCCATTCTGGCCAAGTTCTGGTACATGCACATAGGTGACCACACTCACGTACAGTATTGGCAGGCAGCTACAATGTTGAAGCTCAGGGTCAAAGTTACAGCAGATCCCGAAGGCTACTGTGCATTTAGCTTTTGTCAGGCCATTTGCCTCACTCATGAAAAGTGTGCCTGCATTTATTCAAATATAGTATTCTAAGATGTGGCAGCAGAAAGATGGGTTGATGCAAAGATGTATCCCGAAAGGACAAAAGCATGAATTAATTTAAATGTGACAGTTTCCAGAGTGGTAGCCATGTTAATTTGTCTGCTGCAGTAAAAACAAGCCATGGGACCTTAAATGATCAACAGATTTATTATGCCATATTCATGAACTACAACTGATGGAGTGGACTATAGGTTATAAATGCTTATGCCATAATAAATGTTAGTCTTTACGGTAAGATGCTGCAAGACCTTGTAATATGAGTGGGAGATGAAGGGTGTGGAATACTGTGTGTCTATCCACCCCGCCCCACAGCTTTTTAATATTCTGGATAAACAATGTATAAAACTTAGACTGTTTCTGGGAACCTGACTGATTTTTGTTTACAGTAATGGGTGACTAGGCTGTTAGCAGCCAGAAGTATTCTGAGTTCCTGGGACTGGGAGCCCATAGAATTTAGCAAGATCAAACATATACACAGCCAGGGTGGTGTAATGATTGGGGCATTCAACTTATAAAAGGGAAACCAGAGACATATCCTTGTTTGCAGTGAAGTCCAGTAGGCAAACTTGGAGCTAGTTATCATCTCTCACCCCAATGTACTACATAGAATTCTGTAGATAAAATTGGATAAATGCATGTTACCCTGAACTCTTTGGAGGAAAGTTGGGATACAATGGTGAAGAATAAATAAGGCAGGAGCCAGTCACTATGGGTAAGGGATATTGAGTTTCCAGCTACAGTATCTCAGATTCATGAAATCAAGGCTAACATCAACATTTAAAAACAGATGTCAGAATTAGGAAAAAAAAGGATAGGAAAGAGGTAGAGACTAATGGCCAGAGTGAAAGATCAGCACCAACTAGACAGTGTCCTGGTTCACATGCAATGCCACATTAAACCATGAATATGCGTGAGTGAGCAAACATGGGTTCCTGGACAAAAGATCATAGCTGCAGTCAAAACCTGGGGCTTAGTCAGACATAATACTAAGCCAAATCATGGCTTAGCTTTCAATAGGGCAGCAGCAGCAGCACGACCAGAGGAGGTGTGCAGTCTCCAGGCACCTGCATGTTTGCTCATCCACACTAAGGACACAAACTGGGCCAGTGTGTAGAAGACGGTACTGAGGTCTGGAGGAAGGGCTAGAGAAACAGAATGAGGCAAGGACCAGGAACAGGGCTGTAGGATAGATAAAGCTACAGTCATTAGCTTAGGGTGGGGAATTACATACTGTTCAAACAGTGACACTGTTCAGCTTTCTCAGTGGAACCACAATATAGTCTGAAATACCATTCCTGGTACCTGTGAATTAAGACCTCAGAATTAACAGCAGTATAACAGATGGTAAACCTATTGCACTGCAGGTGTTCCCATCATTCTGGACCATTTCCAATACTGGCTGGAAGACCATTGCCATTAACATCTGGAAGAGCACGGGTCCTCACCCTGGCTGCATACAGTCAGTCTAAGTCGATTATGCTTGGCAAAGAGCAAGTTAAAGATCCGGCTATGACAGCTAGAAAAGGGATGGGGAAACTCAACTAGCCCAGATGTTTTTGGACTCCAGCTCACAACAGCCCCAGCAAGCATGGCCAATAGTCAGGGATGATGGGATATTCCAACAACATCTTGAAGTGCTGCATATTCCCCAACCCTGTTCTGGACTCATGAAAATAACACATTCATAATGCCTTCAGATTAAATGGGACTATTCCGTTATCTGATGTCCTAACATACACACTTGGGTCTCTGTATGTATTTGGAGAGATGGTGTTTCCTCTACTGTGTAGGTAAGTGAGTGCAAAGGGCTGTCCAGGTCTCCGGTCACACAGAGCATGCTGGCAGGAAACCTTTGTAGTTGGGGATGCAACTGGCCAGTGACTTAATCTGGATCACATTTTGTAAATATGAAAACAGATAGATATAAACATAAACACATGAAAAACTCATGCTGTCAACTTGGCCTTGGCTGGACATTGTAATCTGCATTTGTTGCTACCACTTTCTGCAAATGTTTGAGGGAAGGACTTTGTAAATTGCTTAAAGGTAATGGGACCCCTGACAATTAAGTCCAGTCGCGAACGACTCTGGGGTTGTGGCGCTCATCTCGCTTTAAAGGCCGAGGGAGCCGACGTTTGTCCACAGTTTTTCCGGGTCATGTGGCCAGCATGACTAAGCTGCTTCTGGCGAAACCAGAGCAGCGCATGGAAACGCCGTTTACCTTCCAACCGGAGTGGTACCTGTTTATCTACTTGCACTTTGACGTGTTTTTGAACTGCTAAGTTGGCAGGAGCTTGGACCGAATAACGGGAGCTCACCCCGTCACGGGGATTTGAACCGCCAACCTTTTGATTGGCAAGCCCAAGCGGCACAGTGGTTTAACCCACAGCACCACCCGCGTCTTAGCACCACATTTAAAAGGAATGGTAAAGAACAGGAAGAGTCTTCAGTGACACCATTCTCCTCTTACCTCCAATTCATGTAGAGAGAAAATGTGCCACTCTGCCAGCAATTTCACTGGGTGGTTTATCCTTTGGTGGGATAGGCAGGCTTACAGCTGCAATGCCATCTGGCTCTCATGCTGCAAGTAAATCATAACTACCTGGACAAATAGTCCCATTCGGGTACAATCTTATAAATCACAGTGGTGTGTCAGCAACCTTAGCAGCATATATACATTATGGTGATTTGTTTTTCCTGTTCAGCTAAAGTTTAATTACAGCCCCATCTTTTATAGTCAGGGCAGATTAAAACAGGTATGTTGAATGGGTTTTGAACTCAGAAGTGAAAGTAAGTTCTTAATTATGCCAATTTGCTTTGCAGATAGCTTAGAAGGCTTTGTGTAGGATTTCTATAAATAGGGGTGCTAGTTAAATGATGAGGTGCTGGCAGCAGTTATCATCATTATGAACCAGTTATATAACTCTATTATAACTTTTTTAGTATTCTTGAGAAGTAGAAAGATGTGTTCACCTCTCTCTTCTTTTATAATAAAGTCTGAAAATTCACCATGCAATATTATAACATAGGAAGAGCTAGAAGGAATCAATAACAACACCTATTTGCCATGCTGTGCTACAACAGGGGCAGCACAGAACTGAGAGATTTCTGGATTAAGAAGGCTACCTTAAATGCTTCATACTGCATTTTGTAGTTTCCTGACACAATGCATACAATACAAAAAAAATTTTTATAGGAAATAGTAGCACATATAAATACTACCAGTTACTGCATCAGTCCAATGAAAGTACTATAGGATTTCCATATGAATGAAAACAAGTTGCGTTGTAAGGGCACAAACTAGCCAATAAGCACTATGAAAGTTTTATTATTATTATTATTATTAGGAAATATTTCTTGGCTTCCTGAAAACTGGCTCTGTGTGGTCCAATTATAAAAGGTCTTTAAAAACAAATAGCACATGGTCTATGCTGCAGTGAGCTTTGATAAAGCAATTAAAAATTAACAGGAATAGAAAAGACAAATATTCTTTCAGCAGGAATTCTACCCAGGCAAGTATTTCATCAAAGAGAAGGTATAAAATGAATCAAGAAACAGAATTATACAACTGTAGAGTTGGAAGGGATTCTTGAGCATCATCTAGTCCAACCCTTGAGAAATGTGTTTTTCTCTTCCTGCTGGCTAATTGTATTCTACCCTTGCTTGTTCACACAACACATAGGTAGTGGATGCTGCTTGTGATTGGCTGAACTCTTCAGATGTTAGAATAGAGCTGGGGTGAAGGCAGTGGGCTCATGGTACCACTGGCATTGGCTTGGGTCTTCTGCTGTCACAGTGAGATAAGCAATGCAGAGTAGCAGAATATCTTAGAATTTTAAGACTAAGGACTTGTCCACAATACTTTTTGTCCTATGCCTAGAAAGCATGGGTCCAGGTGGCTTTCTGCTTGACCTACGCTTTCTAGGCATGGGTACGAGTGGTTTTGCCTTTGCCCCAACACTTTCCCTGCAGAAAACCCCACTAGCGCCAAGTCGGAACAAATGTCAGTCTGTGGAAAAGCTGATTGCCATTTGTTCTGATCCAGCAGTAAAGACTGGGCTTCCCTGGGAGAAAGTGGCGGGGCAAATGGAGGTGTGGATAATCCCTAAGATTAATGTGTGACTTTTGTTAAATTAACCATATAAAATAGTACCTATAGGCTGATGGCTTTAGAAAGATACATTGATAATGCAAATTGATCAGGTGAACGTGGGCCAGTTGTACTCTCTTAGTCTCATCTCGAGTGTTCTCGAAGCTACAAACATGAGTCTGACCAAACTGTGGGAGGCAGTGGAAGACAGGAGTGCCTGGCGTGCTCTGGTCCATGGGGTCATGAAGAGTCAGACACGACTAAACGACTAAACAACAACAACAAGTCTCATCTACTTTCAGAGTAGTTGTAAATTTAAAGTAAAGCAACCCACAGTGTGGCTAGGGTGTTGGACTTTGACTTGAGAAACCACAGATCAATTTCCAATTCAACTATGAAGCCTACTGGAAAACATTGGAGGCAGTCATGGACTCCTAACCTGTGTCACCCTACCAGCTCAGAGAGTTGTTATGAAGATAAATATGTATAATTTGCCCTATAATATAAACTGGTAGATGATACCATATGCTTTTGGGTTTGATTGATTTTTTAAAAAATACAAATATAGCTCAAAGCAATTATTGGAAAGAATGCAATGCAATGCAAAAAGAAAAAGGAACTTATGAACACATTTGGTGGGGTTGTTCCTAAATTAAATTTTAAGATTAAGATGATGAGCATGATAAGGAAAAATGTGAAATTTGCTTTTTTGGTTTCCCCCCTTCATTTTATTTAGATTCATTCTCAGTTATGGACAGTGATCAGATTTGGACTCTTGTGCATTTAGATTTGATGAGTAATTATTAATGGATTAAATCTCTCTCTCAGTGGAGAAAGTAGTTTTAAAAAATATATATAATGGCCTCTTGTTTCAGCCAAGAATTTTTGCCCATTCCTAACCTAGAAAAATAAATCTCAATCACATGAGCACTTTTTCACTGTGAGATGTCGAGACACTATTATGATAATGCACTTCTAGTAAGTTTTACCTCCTGTTTAATAATTAGCCCTTAATGCAAGGCTCTGTGCTCTTTCTTCTGTCATTTCATGCCAGATGTAGAAAAGGAGCACATCAATTCCATTAAAGCTGTCTTACAGATATTAGCTTGCTATTTTAGGGTTTTGCCTTAAATTGCTAGCAATTTAGTGTCAATGTTCCTTGCCTGCTCTAAATTCCTTTTCATTTTAGACGGGGTTTTAAAATGTGGGTGGGTGGGTTGATGCATCCTTGAGCAGAGGGGAGGATGAGCACACCATGGAATAAAAAGAAAGAAAAATTGGAGCATAAAATATTCATAAAATAGTGGGGGATAGGTACAGGGGCTTGCTTCTCTTTTGCACTTTTTAAAGAAGCAGAACTGGCTTAGTAAAATCTCCATGGCCTGGTTTGATGTTAGTAATGTGTAGAAGCTTATTTTATTTCACAAAATTTATGTGCCACTTTATTGTAATAAAACCTATAAGTTGTTGGCATCTGTCTGTCTTGGGACATAATGAAGGAGTGCGTCTTTGGGGGAGAGTTACAGTTGCAGAGTTACAGTGCCTGCTGTGTCTGTAGAGATGGATACAGGAGAGACATGTTTTGTTGCGGCTGGGGCAGATGAGGGTGTCCGGTTGTGCTGCTGCAGATGCACCATTTATTTTCTCTGTGCTCCTCCCCTTGGTCATTCCTCCTCTGGTGGATACATGATCTGGCTATTTGTCTCCAGGCACTGAGGTTGTCTGCAGAGGGTCCCCAGATGGTGGGTGTTAAGTTGTGGGTGAACATATCAGATGACACAGTGATTCTTCAACAGCTCTTGTTTATTCACGGGCCAGGACAGAACTTAACTGAAGGGTTTAGTCAGCCTGCTTATATAGAGCTCCAGTACAGCGTAACTGTAACAACTTTCTAAAACTATCCAATCACTGAATGTCACTTTTCGATCCCTTATTTGCATAACTATCTACAGTATCCCCCTGCTGGCCCAGGGTGAGAACTTCAGTACATAACAGTGGGGTTGATGTTTCCAGCCTTCATGTCTTGTCATATTTTTGTAACGCTGAGTTGGTCTGCCATTGGCCTGGTGCTTGAAGGCAGTTCCCCGTACAGCACATCCTTGGGGATCCTGCCATTCCTCCATTTTGTGGACATGACAAAGCCAGCATAGACATCCCTGAGACAGGAGTGCAAACATGCTGGAAATGTAGGATTGGGAAAGTACATCTTTGTTTGAGACTCCATCCTGCCATGTGATGCAAACCTATAAATGTTTTACCAAAACAACAACAACCCACCATTACATTTATTAAGAAAAGGCAGTTGAAACAGGTATTTAAAAACATTCAAAATATAATTGAAATCAGCACTAAGTTAAAGAGTGATTAAAACATGTATATGGTATCTGAAGAAGTGTGCATGCACACAAAAGCTCATACCAATAATAAACTTAGTTGGTCTCTAAGGTGCTACTGGAAGGAATTTTTTTATTTTGTTTCGACTACGGCAGACCAACACCTACCTGTAACTAGAAGATGTATAACGTTCTACATATCTGGATAGGCTTGCCTAAACAAAAGTGCCAAAAAGAGTACAGCAAAAAGAGTATTGCCTGATGTCAATAGGCAAGGAGTTGCAAAGTGTGGATACCGCCACACGAAAATATCAATTTCTTACAGGTGCAGAGTGAATATCATGTGGTACCTGTAACAGTGCCAGTTCTGGTTCAGTGGGGACATATAAGGTCAGGCAATCCTGCAAGTAACAATTTGTCCATATAGGCTAGTATTGCCTACTCTGACTGGCAGTGACTGTCAAGGCTCCTGGTCATTTTAAGTGGAGATAAGGATTAGATTAGAAGTTGCCCTAATCGTTTTGTTGCTTCCCATGCCAGTGTGAACTGCCAGGTGGTAAGAGGTAACACAGTCATCTGTGCCTCCTTCGCACATTGCTGAAGCAACATGGGAGCCAGTCCATTGAGCTGTCCTGGGACTTGTCACACAGCTGTGGCTACAAATGAAACAGAGCTGAGTCACAGCAAAAGGTGCAGAGGCGCATAAGGAACTGAAAGGTGCAGAGAAACGTCTGAAGGCTAGTGCCAGAAGGAAAGTCCATTCCAGGCACACATAGACTAGGCTCTTCCAGCCACTAAGTCAGCAGGGATGGTGCTCCAGCACTGATTAGAGCTCATCTGAGCATTTAAGTGCTGTCAAAGAAGGAAGGAGCACTAATGCAAAGGGAAATGACATCAGATGGGGAAATGTAGGGAACCCAGCCCCTCCACTCCACAGAGCAAAACACACTTAACCACACAGCCACAAGAGCAGGCAGCAGGAAGGCCCCTGGTGTAATCTTCCAGGGCCAAACCCAGATATGGCCTCCTTCCTTCCTCTTGCCCTATGCATAGGGAGATTCCCAGCCATATATTATGATGGAACGGTGTGAGTGATCACAGCAAACCAAAGGCTTTAGGTGCTCAAACCATGTCTACAGATTTCAAAGAGAAAGGACTGGGAAGAACCAAACAGAGAAGTAAGGGAAGCTTTCAGAATGACAAAACACAAGGACTGTAGCTCAATGATAGAGCACATACAGTGGTACCTCGGGTTACATACACTTCAGGTTACAGACTCCGCTAACCCAGAAATAGTACCTTGGGTTAAGAACTTTGCTTCAGGATGAGAACAGAAATCGTGCTCCAGCGGCGCAGCAGCAGCAGGAGGCCCCATTAGCTAAAGTGGAGCTTCAGGTTAAGAACAGCAATAAGTCCCAGGCTGAATCTTTGACACCTCCAACTAGTGCTGGGGGAGACCCCTGACGAGCTGCTGCCAGTTAGTGTAGGCATTCCTTAGTCAGAAGGACCATTCATTTGACTTTGCATAAGGCAGCTTTCTGTGTTCCACTCAGGAAGCAGCAGGTAAGTAAAGTCTGCCATTGTGAGAAAAGCTTGGTGCAGTTTATCTCACAGTAATATTAATTTAAAAGGCTGGGCAAAAGTCAACAGAAATTTCGCAGTGTGATAATTTTGTATTATTGCTGTGTGTCGTACAGCCCCAGCCCTTTGAAGTACTGTTCTAGTAAACTGTAGCGATTGTAAATACTTTGCTGGGTACTGTGGACAGTATCAGTGAAGTGCACCTAATTCCCACGGAAATTAGCTGTATTTTTATGAGTTTGGGGTGGTAAACTGGGTGCCAGAACTCCTCTAATCCCTGGATCCAGCAAGTGTTAGAATGTAATCAAGGCTTCTAATTCTTGGAAAAGCCAAGCTAGCCTCCTGGTGAGGTGATAGCTTGGGTGATGAGCCATTAAAGGGGATTAAGGTGCTGGATGCAAGGCAGCAAATGGGCAGGCCCCTCTTCCTCAGGAGATAAAGCCAGAGTTTGGAGCAGAGGTAGTGGTGATGGGACCTAGGAAGGAAAGCAGCAAGTTGGAGAAAGAGAGGGAGAGCAACGTTTGGTTTTTGTTCGATCCAAGGCTGTGGCTATGGGAGAAGCAAGACCCTTTTGGAGTGTTAATGCTGTGAACCCCTTCATAGTAGGCTCAGGTTGTATTTATGTGTAAATGAACCATATTTCATAAAGACACCACAGTCTCCGCTGTGCCTCTTTCCCAAAAGGAAACACGAACCCTGGGTAATCGCCTGGAATCTCGCAGTGCTCTGTGATTGGGGTGGGGTGCAACAGTATTGTGCTTTTTCTGTAACTCACTTTGAGAGCCAGAGTTGAGCTAATTAAGGAGGGTATCATTAATATTAGAATAAATAAAGAATGTAACTTGCATCTGGATTCCACTCAGAGAGCAGAGCTGAAGGCAGATTAGATGTCAGATTATGAGTCAAATATTGAGTATTCATACTAGATTTGCTTGAGAGCTGTTTCAGGAAGGATATATTATGCTAGGAGTATGAAGCACTTTACTTCCCCCTTTGGAAACTGAAGTAGGGGGCATCTCTGAATCTGAGCAAAAGCTGGAGAAGTTTGACTCTCACAGATACCCACATTCATAACTTTCACAAACATTTTTAATATTAACTTCCATTCAATGAAGGTGAATGTAACCATCATTTTCACAACCATCATCCACTATGTAGGCCAACTTGAACCACATTGCAGTAGTGGCTCAGGTATGCATACTAAAAATAATGAACTACTGGTATATAGACACAGGTGCAGTCCACCGAAAGCTACCAGATTAAATTCATTTTCCAAAGGAGATCCTATGAAGGTAAGAAATTGCTATTTGCTTATTTGCCCTATGTCCAGAGCAGAAATCAAACCAGAGAATACAATCAGTATTTGCTGCTGCTGCTGCGGCTGTTGTTGTTTTCAGTCTACCAATGATATGTTGTTGATTACTTTCCCACCTATTTGTATTGTGTTTTCTTTGCACTGAAATGAATTATCTTTGCATTGAAATGAATAGTGTCGATAATGTACTTAATTACATAATTATGTAAAATTCCACCACAGTGGACAGTGAGAGAAATAGTGTGGTTTTTATTGGACACCAAACTGCATCGGAAGATAAACATGTCGGAAATCAAGCCTTTATCGGGAGAAACTGGCAACTCTCCCAGGCACCCGGCTTGGTCTCCTGTTGACCTCCCTGGCTGCATTCCCCAGCAAGCACAGGCTAGGTCTTGATAGGCGATTCTTCCCAAACGTGGGAAGAACACACCCCCTCCCTCCTGCTCCCCCGGCAGGGAAAGGAGATAGACAGAAATGTATTTACATGCCTTTATTTCTGTCTTTGCAGCATTACAGAAAACATGTCTGTACTCTTCAAACTCCAGCAGTCAAGTGACAAAGACTTCCTGTACTTCCTGTACATACGCAAGAGGAAGAGCTCATATTACACTCTGAGCTAATTCCGGTGCATTGCCCTGTGAACCGACTGTTTCCCATGGACAGTCCCAACATTCCCATCATGTTTTGTTTTCAAGCTAGCAGTTTGCAGCTGCATTGCATCCATATTGTAACAAAACAGTGGTGTATGGGTAGAACATGGGTTGGAACAGAAATATATCCCAGCTTGGAATTTATATACATTATACACAACTCAATCTTATGCATTTTTCTTCGGAAATAAGTCTCACTGATGTCAGTTGGACTTACTCCTTACTTACAGGACAATGCTAGTCTGCCATGTGGCTATGTCACTCATATTTAAATATTAATTCATTCTAAAAGGCATTTCGGGTCATAATGAAACTACTGCAGATTGGAAATTTAGGCTTTTCAAGAAGGCGCAGCTTGCTAGGGCATTAAAAGTTAGTCATTTGTTGGGATCATATGCCTCTGTAGCCTTGTTGGGGACTGGTTTACAGTCCTTTGCTGTGAACTTTGAGCTTGAATTCCTGCTCCGCCACTGTAATAAGCATTAGAGTCTGCACATGGATGCTGTGGGATAAATGTGCAGAATCCCAAGGGTCATTCTGGTACCTTGCCACATACATAACCTGGTCACCCAGGCCACGTGTGAACCAAGCCCTCGTGTAAAACTTGTCATGTTAATGTTTGTTTTGTATTAATTATATTCCCTTTTTTATTTTTGTGTAATATATTCAGATAAATGCTGTTAACATGGTCTGACACTGGGGCAGAAATCTTAAACACTGTTTTCATTTAGCAGGCTTCAGCAACCGAGACAGAAATTGGGCCCATGAGGCTGACACAGGATCCTATTCAGGTAGGACATTTTTTCATTTTAGTAATAACTATTAAATTCCGTATTAAGGTTCAACTAACTGCTACAATCCTTCAGCTCAGGAAAATACACAGGTTAAACCATACACTTTCTGTATATGTAAAAAAAGACCTGTACATTTTAAACTTTATTCTTAGGATGACTGCGGAGGTAATAGATCATTTGAAACCAGTTACAAAGATTCAGTAAATTGTGTGATATTCAAATTCTGAACCAGCTTGCCTTACTTGAGAATTATAAATAAAAAAGTAATATCTGATGGTATCATTTTCTGGGAATATTGAGTGGTATCCAATGAGGTTCTGCTAGTGCAATGATGCCTCTGTGCCCTCTCCAAATCTGCTCTGCATGGATTGGATGTTATCCCCAGAACAGACTTATGGAGCGTGCAAGGAGAGGAGAAGGGAGTTCTGTGGCACAGATTTTGTGGACACTGAACTACTTTAGTAGATACCACCTCCGGCATTAGCATTAAAACAACTGCAAAGTTGTACTTTCCATCTTCAGTTCTTAGTCTCCAGCATCATCCCAGAGTCAGGCTCTCTCTCAAAATGTGGAAGTTGTACTTCTGGCTGTCAGGACAAGTAGCCAAAGCATCCTTTTCATTATAGGCCATAATATTCTGCAGCAACACATTTCACTGGGTATAGAAAAGTACTTAAAACCTCTGGCTTTCAATTTTAATGGTGAGTGCTGAAGTTTTGTATTCTGAGAGAAGGAATTAACTTTTTTACTTGCTTGCCATCTCTCAAGCAGAGCTGCCAGATTTCTGTTTTAATTAATCTCCCTGAGAGTCAATCCGCATAGTCAGGGCACGGAGTGGGAGAGTCTGTCTGGGACAATTTAGTTTCGGAATACAGGTGGCAAGTGGCATGTTTGGATATCTCCCCGACCCCGGGGATAAGAAGGCTAGAGCAGGTTTTGGCCCTGAAGCCTGAGCATTTGGTACCAAGACATTGAATCGCACATGGTTCTAATGCTTTCTAGAGGAATTCTTTAGTTCCACAGATTCAAGAGCTATTTACTAGGTGTGACTGGTCTGTACAGAAAGAACCAGTTATAGCAAAGTTTAAAAAAGATAGAACTTTTCTGCCTACTTAAGTTTCACGTGCCATACTGGCTTGTCTTAGAACTTTTTGAAGTACATTAATAGTCTACAGCCACAAGCACTCAGCTTTCTTAACAGATTAGTCATACACTGACGTTTGTGGTGGTGCAACCGTCGTATTAATCATCATCTCACTTATTGTTGGGAAGTCAGCACTTCAGATAGCTTTAGATAACACAAAATCAAGGTCACCTTGCCAACCTGCAGATTAAATGCATTGACTTTCATATGGTGACGCCATGGCAAAGCACAGTCGTCAGAAACCAGCTAAAGAGAACAAAACTTTCTTTCCTATACACCTATACACAGGGTGTCCCAAGGATACTAACAGGACAATCTATTCATATGAAATAAACTGAACTTTGAAACTCTGTACATTTTATGCTAAAAGAGTTCTAGCTGGGTACTTTGAACAGTTCTTGTCAATTTTTTATAAACAGCGAATCTTTTCTTTCTTGTATTATATTTATTCTAAAGCAAACATGCTGCATGACCCACTAGATCTGCCACTGTTGGAGCAGCAGTGCCAGCATTGGCACTCGTTTCAGGCACAGATCTTGTGGATTTCAAGTGAGATCTTATGCAATTTTGGTCAGATGTTGTCTAAAATTAGTGCCAATGGTGGAGGCAGGGGGGGGATATCCACAGGAACACCACATCAGGGGCTCCCACTACCTGAGATGATGGTCTAACCCCACCTAATGGCTGTACCGGCCCTGGTGATTGCTGTGATTTAATAATTTGTGTATATTTCAAAACAGAGCAGTTCAATTTCCTATGCTGCTGGCTATATAAATTTGAAAACGACTAGTAAATGTCACAAAGATGACAACATATTTCCTTCTTAAAGTGCTCTCGTGAAAAATCATGAATTATTTACAGTGTTGCTTTCTCACTCAGCACATTAGAAAGCAGTTCTCATCTTGTCACTGCCTTGGGATTGGCAGATTTACCACAGAGACACTACAGAAATGTACTACAGAAAATTTGAGCTCACATAATTCTTTAAAGATGCATGAGTGACAACCCTTGGAAGCAGAAAATCCACAAAAGTATCTATAATATGGCCATTTGGGCACTGTATGTACAGTCCTGAATGGGAGATGTGGTGACATGATATGGAGTATTACCTCCTAGAATGATGAGGACATTATTAAAAGTAGAATGGGAGAGGTTAGGGTGAAGCCCAGGTCTTCCCCGCCATATACTTTATCAGCCCCTGACTCATTCCCTTTGTCTCTTGAGTAGTGTTTGTCAATTCTGAATTGAACGAAACTGTAGCTACCATGGATGAATATATTGCCCAGCCAATTTCTGAGTTGAACATTGAAGGTGTTAAATACTTCTAGTAAAGAAAGCCATTCCATACGATCAAAGGCCTTGGCTGCATTCCAGAATAGTAACTGTGGGAAACTTCAAAATGTTTGCATGGTCTCTATAAGATGAGCAGCAGTCTTAGCATTACTAACCATGCTTCTTAGTTTGCTTAGAAAATAATTTCCCCATTATATTAAGACTTTTTGCTAATATTGAAGGCAGGATTTTATAATCAGAGTTCAGTTTTAATACAAGACAACATGATATGTTTCCATACCTAGTTGTGAATTACTTAGACTTGTATTGTGGGTCTGATTTCTTGCACTTTCATTACTAATAGGCCAGTTAGTCAGCTCTATGAGTCTCTTCCCAAATTTAGGAAATATCGCTTCTGATTTTAGTTACTATTCTCATCATTTAACAGTGTTTTACATTGGCTTTTATGGCAAGCACACCCATAAATTTCATCATTCAAAAGTGTGTGTTTTAAATGCTGCCAACTTTTGGAAAGTGAGTGGGAGCAGTGTTGCAGTAATTTTAAAAACAAATAGTGCAATTTTAACCGCAAACATTATTAGGTTTAAATCCACAGTATAGGAAGGTGCTTTAAGTGTGACGACAGTAGCTTGCCTTCTATATTTTATAGGTGTTGCTGATCTTTGTGAAAGAAGACAAACAGAGTGATGGATTTTGGTGGGCTTGTGACAGAGCTGGATACAGATGTAACATAGCTCGGACGCCCGAGTCAGCGCTTGAATGCTTTCTTGATAAACACCATGAAATAATTGTCATAGATCATAGAAACTCCAGATACTTTGATGCTGAAGCCATCTGTAGGTAATTAATTGCCCTTGTTTTTCATATGAAACTTGGAGTGTGAGTTAACTGTTCCACAATAGTACTATGGTGGTATACAATAGTACTTTATTTAGTGTTGCTGTACATCCAGAATTTCCTGGACATAGCCGGGATTTGGCCGTCAGAAACAGTGTCCAGGTGGAAATCTCTGAAATGTCAGCAAAAATCCAGGTGTATGGCAACCCATTTTGGCAGTGTCGTTTTTTGTGATTTCTCTTTAAAAATAGTTCAAAACTTTTTTGAGATTTTGCACACCCACTAAAAGCTCAAACTTTGGGCAATACTAAAAGAAACACTCAACAACTTTTTTGTCTGCATTTTCACCTTTTGAAATATGGGAACTCTATTTCTAAGGCAAATCAGTGCCTGGACCGTGCCACTTCAGGATGCATAGTAGGAGAGATCACAGAGCATAGTTAAAACTATTTGCTTCCATAAGATGTGGTGATAGCCACCAATTTGGACTGTTTCTGGAGAAGACTGCCAATGGCCATTAGCTAAGACAGCAATGTGTTTCCTCCGGAATCAAAGGCAGTATGTGTCTGAATAGCAGTTACTGAAGATCACACGTGTGCTATGGAGGACTTAGCCAGATTTTAGGCTTATATAAGGATTTGGTTGACAACTATGCATGCCAGACTAGAAAGGCCTTGAAAATGCACTATAAAGGACTTGATGAGCACATATATGCTATTGTTCTTATGATTATTCTATGATTCCATAGAAAAGCCGAACTCCTGCATTACAGAAAGTTGAATGTCAAAGAGAATAGGAACATAGGAAGCTGCCTGATATTGAACAGACTGTTGGTCCATTTAGCTCTGTGTTGCCTGCACTGACTGGCAGCATCTCACCAATGTTTCAACAGACAATATCTATCTATATCTATCTATCTATCTATCTATCTATCTATCTATCTATATATAGATGATTTTTTTTGTATGGAGGAGCATTCAATTAGGTGACCCCTACCTGCAGTCTGATGTGACATACATTGAGGTTTACCACCTCAACATCAAACTAGACCCTCAACACCAGGAATAAAAGGCATACATGTGAGGTTGAATACAGCAAGATAGTTCTCTGCAAATCAAGCCAAAAGCAGTACCGTATTTTGTTTTCACTTCTGAAAATAAAAAGGTTGTAGGCAACTAAACTCAGAGCTGACTTAGTAACCTTGTGCTTGAGCTAATTTAAGATTGTGTGGGTGTTGCAGAGCCCTGGTTGCATGGTGGAACAATCAAATGACCTCCTCTAAAAGTCCACCAATAGAATCATAGAGCTTTAGAGTTGGAAGGGACCCTGAGGATCATCTAGTCCAACCCCCTGCAATTCAGTAATATGTAGCTATCCCATATGGGAATTGAACCTGCAACCTTGGTGTTAACGACACCATGCTCTAACCAACTAAGCTATCTTACCCAGGTCTGAGAAATATGTAAAGATCGGGTATATGTTGAAAGATGAATGAAACTGATAGTTTCTTTCTTTATTTCAGCTTCTAAAAGTTGCAGATTACACCCCCCACCCCCCACACACACCCAGAGAAACACACATGTAGCTACAGCTTTTTAAATTATTTCCTCTGAAGATGTTCTTGCTGCTGAAGAAACAAAACACCGTTTTGCTTATAAAATAGATTATCTCTTCAGTAATATTAACTGCTTCAGAGGAAACAAATTTAACTTTGGTTTTGTGTGCAATTTGCCTGCATAAGTAGAATCCACTCATAGGTTGAAATATGGTGTTTGGTGTATTAATTTTTGTTGTTAAAGATGGTTTCAATGATTATGACATTGACTTTCCTAATTTCAGGTCAATCCGTGCTACAAAGCCTGCTGAACACACTGTAATATTAGCTGTTGTTCCACAAATGTAAGTATTTTTTGGCAAGAATGTTTTCCAAATGACACTTTTTTTAATGGGTAAGGTTAACTAATGAACAAAATATCTTAGCAGTGGTTGGACTTCACATCCATAAATATGCGAGTGATAGGTATTTTAATTGACTCTTTACTCAGAGAAGGACAATACAAGTCTCTCATTAAAACCTTAGATCAAACTATTTATTCAGACAAGAATGTCTATTCACTTCAGAATATGGTTTGGCACATTATTGAAAATTCATAGATTTCCCAAAACTCCTGCACTTAGGATATGGTGCTGTTGCCATTGAAAAAGGACCCCCCCCCCCGCTGCTGCCGCCGCCGCCGCCACCACCACCACCACCATTAAATTTATACACTGCTTGATTGTACAAAAACCTCAAAGGGGGTTACAAAAAAACAATAAAATTATAAATAATACATACAGAAAGTCATCAGCTGCCTCCATGGGAATTCCTATCACAAATCTGCAAGAGCAGAATATGGTGTTCTGAGGTTCCTTCAGGATTTAATACTTGCAGGATTTTTGTTCTCAGGCCAAAATGCAATTAAAGCACATTGTGACCGATAGCACACCAAAGCTATTTGCCTTGTGGGGGTATGATGATGAGTTTAGCTACTCAGCCAACATACATTGTGCAGTCTAGATTTCTGACTCGTACCAAGCTCATGTTGGCATAACATAACAAATAAGGAAAGGCAATATCTGCAAAACTGATATTAAGAGGAAAACTGAATGTGCTAGAGTAAATATATATTTTGTGCTTTATGACTTCTATATGTATGAATATTATTGCACTAATTCCCAAATGGGTAGCTATGGTAATCTGTGTTGCAGCAAAAACAACAGGCACTTTAAAGATTAACAAATTGATTGTGGCATAAGCTTACACATACATAAATACACATACTTGAGGGAATTATCAGAATTTTTCAGATCTCTTGGCTGACAACATTTTCTACAATTCTGTAGGTCTGGTAACCAAGAAGAAACGTCGGTCCTACCCCTTCTCCATGCAGGTTTTAACAGGGTATGTAGAAGTTATTTTCACTTTCTTTAAGTGATAACTAATTTTTCAGTCTCCAGTTATTTTTTCTCAAAGATTTGATGCAGATGTTGTCAGACACCTGTTCATCAGCCACCCTGAGTGATGGTGCATACGCATCAGAATGATGAGGTAGAAATTCTCATAAAAATTGAAAATACAGGATCTCTAAGGGTTTCTTAGTAAGCACCTTAGTAAGCACCTGCGACTGCCTGGTCCTCTGCGGTCAGCACTGAGCAGAAGAGGACTGGAAAGCTGGCTGCTGCTTTCTTTGCCTTTAAGATCCTTATGTAAACACAAAATGAGTCTGGGTGTAAGGTCAGACTCCACAAGCAACCACCTGAACTTCCCAATAAAGACCTGGTTACACTGGAGAACTGCATTTTTAGATGATTTTTTTAAAAAAACAAAGAGGGACCAACTGTTTGGTGTGTGTTGGTGTGTTCCCTCCCTTTATTTATTTATTTATTTATTTACATTTCAAATTATATAGATAAGACACATAAACTTTGAATGTTCAAATACTGTAAATAAAACAAGTCATGTATTCTTCACCTTTAACATTGCAGTTGTATATCCACATTTTACCAACTACTGTTACACCTTTCCCTTTCCCCGTGTAACCTTGTGACTCCCCCCCCACATGGCTTCTTTAGTTCTATTTACTAATAGTACTATTGTGTTTATACTTACTATCTAATGTATTCAAAATTCCATCTTCAACATCATAATTCTTGTCTTTGTGAGCTCAGTCTAAGCATAGTGTGTGTTTCTTTGGTGCAGCCGCAACGAAAGATTGAAAAGTTCTACTTTTAAACTAATCAGACTTCTGTGTTATTTCTGAATTCTGGTTAGTTCAAGCTATTGTCATTTCAGAGACGCCAGGATCAGAAATGACTTATGGTGCTGATTTGTTCAGACCCAGCAGTGTGGGGGGCATCCCCTTTTCTGATCTTTTTGCCACCTCCTTTTTTCTTCCTCCCCGCTTTCATGACATCCACATGAAATTAAGCCAAGGGTCACATGGAATTAGACTTGACTCCTGCTTTTAAGCTAACCAGGGTTATCCAAGTTCACACATAATGAGGACCCTGGTTAGTTTATTAAACAATAAACTGGTTAGTTTATTGAACTACAACTCCCATCATCCCTGACCACTGGTCATGCTGGTTAGGAATGATGGGAGTTGTAGTCCAACAACATCTGGGGACCCAAGGTTGAGAAAGGCTGGTTAAAAGCAGATGTAGACACTTCCTATGTCCTCATGACCACGTCAAAGGAGGGGTGTGTGTGTGTGTGTGTGTGTGTGTGTGAGTGTGAAGACCTGAGTATGATGCAGGTTCTTGCACGTGATGCTAAACCCAAAGTTCAGCATTTGTTTCTGAATTATTTCAATGGATATGAGCTTAATGCTCTGATGATGCAATTTAGCACTGAGTCACAAAAATGGCATGCTCATTTGCAGGCTGAATTGATCTGCGTTATAGCTGGCCACCTCACGAATCTGGTGACATTAGCATGCATCCAGGTGGAAAATGATCAGACATCACCAACCCACATTTGTAAGCTGTGTCATGGTGCTGTAAATGCAGCTTGGTTTTAAGATGGGCTCATTTTGAACCCGCCACTGATCCATCAGCTCCCTTATGGACAGATCAGTTTGGTCTTGTGAATCAGCACGAATGACCCAGTCTAAAAATCTCTCGGTATGAATTCTGTTGTCTTTCTTATCTTTCTCGCTCTCATGTATTTGCTGCAATAATTACAACCAACTTGTTCAGACAGGATCCCATTGAATATCTCCATGCCATCTTTAGGTTGTGTATTATAGCTCATTCTTGTTGCCCTTGTTCTCAAGTGACAGAAAAAGGATTAACATACCAAAGAATAGGCTTTAAAATAATACTGAGTGGGTGGACAGACACTTTCTATGCTTCACTGGTTGCCTTCTGGGCTGCCGTTTGTTCACAGGAAAAGCAGCCAGAGGCTGAGCCTCTGATTCAAAGCACAGTCACCTGGAAGCAACTTCATTAGTATTGATGAGGCCAAGGGAGCAATCCTAACTCCCAGTGGGGGAGCAGTGGGGTTGAAAGGAGCATCAGAGCCACCACCACATCCAAGGCTACACAACTTACACTAAGGAACAATTTTTTGTTGAGCCAACTGCAAGCTGGTACAGCAAAGAGGCCAGCTCTCATCCCTCTCTGGCAGCTATAATGGTTTAGGATCCAGTAGATCCAGTTTCAGGCCCTACAGCAGGTACTACTAGTGCGAACTTCACTGACAGAACTGTTATGTACTGAAGTTCTCACCCTGGGCCAGCAGGGGGATACTGTAGATAGTTTTCACTCAGGTCCACAAATGCAAATAAGGGATTGAAAGTGACGTTCAGTGATTGGATAGTTACAGAAAGTGGTTACTGTTGCGTTGTAGTGGAGCTCTATATAAGCAGGCTGGCTGAACCCTTCAGTTCAGTTCTGTTCTGGCCTGTGAATAAACAAGAGCTGTTTGAAGAATTGCTGTGTCGTCTGATATGTTCACCCATAACTTAACAAGTACCCTGTCCACAGTCCACACCAGGGGCAGTGAACTCTGCATCTTCACCAGCAGAGTTGGGCAGAAGGAAATCTCTGCTATATCCTAACTCCCTCCAGCAGTATGGATCAGGGGTTAGGATTGCTGTAGCCATTTCAGAGGTTTAGGGTTTGTGTGTACAATAAGAATAAATGTATATTATTCATAGTAGCCTGCTTTTTTCATTAGGACTTCAAAGTAACTGGTCAAAGAATAAGGAAAATGTAAACAAACATTATAGGGAACTACAGCATATTAGATGCTGCCGTTTGTTCTTCAAGTTCCCCCCTCCCAACCCTGCCATTCCTCATCTCAGTAGAAAACTGTTTGTCAGATTATACTTTTGCTGCTTGTTGCATTTGCCAGACCTGCTTTTTCATATATGTAGCCTAAATTACCTGAGAGGGACTTAATCTATAACAGGAACAGCCAATGTGAAGCCTTCCAGATATTCTAGGACTCCAATTCCCATCAGCCCCAGCAGGGGTGGAGGAAGTGGGATGCGGTGGGGCCAGCTGCCCCAGGTGTCAACACTGAGGGGAGTGACAAAATGCCGGGCGGCACTCACCGCGGGGCCTACAGCACGCCTGAGCCACGCGTCTCTCCTGGGAGTGATGCGGTAGCTTGGGTGTCCGCAGGCTCTGCGCTGCCCCAAATGGTCCGCCCGCCGCCTCCCCTCAGCTGTAGGGTGGCAGGCAGACCATTTGGGGCAGTGCAGGGCTTCAGCTGTAGGGCGGCTGAGTGGGAGGAGGCAGGCAGACTCATTGGAGGCCCCGGGGAACATCCTGCCCCGGCTGGCCCCACCCCGCAGGTGACTGGCCCCGCCCCTGTGCGCAGGGCACGTGCGCTGCCCCAGGCGCCCGATTGGCTTGCTCCAGTGCTGACCCCCAGCCAGCATCAACAATCGTCAGAGATGGTGGAACTTGTAGTACAACACCTGGAAGGCAACACATTGGCTACCTCTGCTCTGTACCATTCTGTGCTATTAAAATGACATAATTTTTATCTGACAGTCAACTTCTCAAAGGTCCATTTCATCTCTAGTCCTTCCACTCAGGGATTTACTTACCCTGCTATACAGTTCAGTTGTAGTTGCAAAAGCCACATCCATTCTGTTCTCCTGTCTGTTGGTGCCACTTTAATTTACATATGCATGACATTTTAGGGGTTCAGTATGCATAATATGTAGTGCCTGCAGTCTCTGCAGTTTGCAGAAGTTTTGCCCAGGCTGGTTCCCCCTCATCCACCAGCCCGCATTGCTCACAAAAGCAAGATTAGGATTAAGGCAGGCTGTGCTTGCACAATTCATTTTCCCCCCTTTGTCCCCGAAAGCTTCCCCAAAGCATATAGGGCCACCTAAACAATGTGTCTGTCTTGCAGAGGCTATAGTAGGAGAGGGGAATTGCCCAAACTCAGTAAGTGGAACCCTGTTGGATTCAACCCAATAAAAACTTACCGTATTTTTCGCCCCATAGGACGCACTTTTTCCCCTCCAAAAATGAAGGGGAAATGTGTGTGCGTCCTATGGGGCGAATACAGGCTTTTGCTGAAGCTTGGAGAGTGAGAGGGGTCGGTGCGCACCGATGCCTCTAGCTCTCCAGGCTTCAGGAAGCTATCCGCAAGCCTTGCAAGCCCGGCGGGAGTTCCCGCGGGCTCACAAGGCTTGCGGGCAGCAGCCTGCCGCCCGAAGCATGGGGAGCCCTCCGGAGGGCTACCCGTGCTTCGGGCAGATGTCCGCAAGCCTTGCGCGCCCGGCGGGAGGTCCCGCCGGGCGTGCGAGGCTTGGGGCGGCAGCCTGCAGCCCGAAACACGGGGCACCCTCCGAAGGGCGCCCCGTGCTTCAGGCAGGTGTGCGCAAGGCTTGGGGCTGCAGCCGCGGCTGGGGGGGGAAATAATTTTTTTTATTCATTTCCCCCCCCCCCCCAAAAAACAAGGTGCATCCTATGGGCCGGTGCGCCCTATAGGACGAAAAATACAGTAATTCAGAACATGGAAAACATTAAGATAAGCATCCAGAAGCAAAAACCACACTGTAATTTACAATTTGCACAATTTGCAATTTACAAGCCACAAACCAATGCTCCCCTTCTTTTCCTTCCTAGGGAGAAGGTAAAAATCTAAACTACGGGCATTTGCACATATCAGGCTTAAATTGCCTTTTAGAAATTATTTATGTTGACATCTGATTCATGTGAAAGAGAAGGCCAAAGAGATTCAATTGTAATATGGATGTTATTTGGCCAGGGCAGATTTTGTATTAATAAAAGCAAAGCCTGCTTTAAGACTCATTAATGAATCCCCTACTGGGTCAACACTTGTTATTTTAGAAAAGTGGGGACAGGATATTATGGGTCATGTTTCCCTTATGCAAGAAACTGTAGCATCACACCAGCAACCAATACATTAAAATTTGTGAAAGTTATTTTGCGCCTACAATGGTGATGGTGACATTGCTACTTTTTCAGTGGGGAGGGGAAGTGGAGACTTGTGTGGCATACTCTTACTGCTATAATTCTTTCAGCAAAAGCCTTTGAAGTTTCTTCAAAGGTTTGTTTGCTGGCCATAGAAACGTTTGTTCATTTATAGGGCAAGTAACATCAGAAAGTACCATCTGCTGAGATAGCCATCAAAGTCTCCATGTGCTCTTAAAAAAGCCCAGCCCCCCCCCCCCCCAGGATCTTCAGTTAACAACCAGTCTTCCAATGCAATACAGCTACCAGTTTCACTGGCAAAAATCTATAATCGTCAGTGGGAACAGAAATAAGACACCAAATGTTGTGGCTCCTGTATGGCGCAAATTATTTTTCTCCTCCTGTTTTTACTCAGCATTGCCAGTGACCTTTCAAGCACCTTAACCTTGAGCAGTTGCTGTACCCCAATACCTGCGTTACTAGGGATAGGGTAAAATGTTAGCGCCTCCCCCACCCTTCTATCTTTTAAATCGCATCTCTTATGACTTCGTGATTCTTATGATTTCATGACTGAATGCTTCATCATGCTGGACAATTTTAGGGTGAATACACATTCTCTTTTGTGGGGTAGGATTCATGCTTTCAGCGCTAAATGGCCATACCTCTTTTCTCCAGTTCTGTGATTGCCTCCTTCAGGCATGAAAAAAAATCCATTCTCCATATCACAATGCAATATGCTTGCAAAAAGCTCGTCGAAACTGTGTAAGGGGCTGGGAAAAGAGACTCATTGAGACATTATTTATGCCCACTGGTGTGGACAGAACATAGTAGGATGCAGACATTAAAAAGTGCAATACTACCAGTAAAAGAGAATAGCAATTTCACTTTTGGCTCATTCTGTGTGGAACTGATGGGAGTCGCAGTTCAACAACACCCGGAAGGCACCATTTTGGGTACCCTGGAATAAACAATTAGCAGGCTAGATGGACCAGCGGTCTGACAACTTCATATGTTTCTTGTGTTGATCATAAATATATGGTATCTTAATTGCATATAAGGCTTTTTTTTTCTATCCCCTAGAGATTTTTGGAGAATAGTAGCATCACTGCTTGTTACAATGAACTGATTCAAATAGAACATAGCGAGGTGCGATCACAGTTCAAACTACGGTACGTAAAAATATGTGCGAAAACTGTTCATGTTCTTGACAGAAAGTGTCCTTGGCAGAAAGGAGGCGAGCCAGTCGCTAGCATGCAGCCCAGAGGGGGAGGAGAAAGGGGGGGCAGCAGGAGGAACCGCCTCAGCCCGCCCAAGCCAAAATCCCAGACATATGCTTAAATATTTTAAAAATCCCCCGGGTGCCCATGTTGCGTGTACAAGACGACCCCCAATTTTTTACTTTTTTTTTTTTAAAGCAAAATAACCTTGTCTTATACATGAAAAAAATACGGTAGTTCCAGGATTTGGGAAGTGCAGACCAAATAATTAACCATTCATCAGGAGTAAGTGCTGTTTGGGGCTTGCACAGAGACTCAGCTTCTAGTCACTTGCCTCAGTCAGATTCCTTATTTCTTAAATTCCAAGTATTCACCTTTCTTCCATTGGGCTTTAGTTTCTCCTAATCAGAATATGTTCACCTAAGTAGAGCATTTTGTATATAGTTGGTATCACTATATGAAGCAAACATTTCTTTCATTTTTCTCCTTCCGGGTCCCCCCCCCCATCTGCTGTTCTTCCACATGGCTTCAGGGAACTTATACCCACCCACTATCTGAGTTTAAGGTGTTGGCCAGATGGAACAATTCCCACTCTTCTCCCTCTGCATTTTGTCCTGGGGGGGGGCGGTCTGCCGCTCCCCACTCCAGAGTCAATTCTGTGGGAAGAGAGAAGGGAAAGTCCTGTTGCCTAAGCAGAAGAACTTGTGCAGGGCGTCCACTAACACGATTCATTATGTCAATCCCACCCAAAATGTATACAAATGTGTGCCCTCTTTTGCAAGTGGAGCTGAGGGTCCAATCTACATATAGGCAGTGACTATTCTTGACACTTCCAATATGTGTGTGATTGCATGTGCGCGTATTGTGCCGAAACTGGAAGTGACCCAAAAATCTCACAAAAATGGGTGGGGCAGTGTGTTTACAAGCTTTTCCAATGGTGTTTCAAATGTATGTGATTTCACTTCAACATACAGCGCCTCAGAACATAACCCCTGCATAAATGAGGTAAGTGTACTGGGTCCAGAAAATTCTGCTGGCCCCTCTGCCCCAAAATGTACCATCAGTATTTGCCATCCACAAGTCAAGGGCCTACCCAATAAATCAAAATAAATTTGACCCCCATGTGATACTAGACTTCTCTCAGCAAGTGCACATTCCACATTGTAACAGGAATGAGGGAGTCATGGGGGTGACTTACAGAGGAGGATTGCTTATCCCCTCCTTCACTTGAGAATCTTCCCCTTTTCCCATTTCCCCTCACTTAAGCTTATTCATTGCTCTGGCTAAAGGAAGCATTTACAGAGAGAGAATAAAACGCAGGAGAAATGCAGACAACCAGTATTTTCTTTGCAATATCTACACTGTGAATACATTACATATTGCCTAACAATCCTCTCCATAGATGTATCGTAGAAAAATACATTGAAAATCCTGGTAGAAATGAAAACATCCAAATGCAATACATCTTGCAATGTTTTTAAAATAATTCTTTGTGTTCTTTTCATGCACTGATGTAATCCTGACCTGTTACACTTGCAGATATTAATGGTGTATAATAACTTGTTAATTTCAGGGCTTGCAATTCAGTGTTCACAGCACTGGAACACTGTCATGAAGCCATAGAAATAACTAGCGAGGATCATGTAATTCAGGTATGGAAAAGGCACATTTTTCTTCCTCTTCAGAAACCTGTGTATCGATATATCAGTTGATTGAACACCATTGGCTTCTGTGGTTGTATGTAGACGTTTGTGCCATATCCTTCCTTTCCTTCTTAAATATCTGTTGGGGGAGGGAGTTCTACAATGGAAATGTATCTAACAGTATTCATACTGGGGACTGAATGTAGCATAGGCATGTGGAATGCATGTTTAAGTTCACGCTTTCCTTGGTTGCTCACATGGTTTCTTTGGTTTACAGTATGTCAATCCAGCCTTTGAACGGATGATGGGCTATCAAAAGGGAGAGCTAATAGGAAAGGAACTCACTGAGCTTCCAAAGAGTGACAAAAACCGTGTGGACCTACTGGACACGATCAACACTTGTATAAAAAAAGGAAAAGTAGGTGACTAGCTAAATTCTATCTCCTGCCTCCTTAAACCTCCTTAAACTGAACAGACCTTTGAGATCATTTTCCTCTGTTGGTAAATTACAAATCTAGGACACCTTAACTTTATTGGAGAACATGTGCAATTGGATAACCCTGTAACAAAACTGTAAGAGGGAAAGAATTGTGTGTGTGCATGCATAAAATCTGCTTTTGTGCAGAGTTTATTGCCATGTGGAGATTCTGGGATGATGGATTCTCTGCTTGTAGCTTGCTGTCAGTGCATCTATGATTCTCTCACGTAAAAGGTGTCTGAGACTGTGGTGTCACAAAATGCTACCAGCTTAGAAATGTTTATTTTAAGAAAGGGGTTTGTGATCTGAGCTTCCTAGAATGTTGTTTTCACTCAACTTGTTTAGGAATGGCAAGGAGTTTATTATGCACGGAGAAAATCAGGAGACAGTATCCAACAGCATGTGAAGATAACGCCTGTAACCGGCCAAGGAGGGTAAGTTTGTTAATTAAAAGTGCACTCTGTTGTAATGGTTTTCTCTGTTATACATACGTATATAAATAGATGGAATCAGGTTTGACTGTGAATATATACACCTATATGCATAATTATATTTCTATCAAATATAATAATTCCATATAATAGTGCCATGTTTCTTGGCACAGGTCTGGGCTTTAAAGCTCTGTGTCTGAGTGTGTATTTCTTCTCTCTCAGTGCTTTCCCTAGGAAAACCCGCGTTTCACCGCCAAATCAGAGTAAATGGCAATTAGGTTTTCTGCAGATTGGACCCAGTTTTATGTGTTTGATTCCCCTGAATCTCTGTTCTATAAGCTGGGTTTTCTGTTTGCTTGTTTTAGGATGTGTTTTTTTAACAATATTAAAATAATAATAACAGTACACCGCTTGTATAAATGCTTTAAGATAAAATAAATATTATCCCTGTCTCCCTCCCACCAGCTGCTAATCCTCAACTGTACTTCACCTGTGACTCTCACCAAATGCTAGTGCCATTGCCAAGGCACAAGCCTTGTATTACCTGGTTTACCTGAGAGTCAAACTACATGTGATGTGGAAATTCCACGACTGGGACACCCATCAAAGCAACCTTGGGGTTAGGGGCAAATAGTTGAAATAGGGGCAAATAGTTGAATTCCCCTATGCATCTCTGATTCAAACTACTCTCCACACTTTTTCATAGAAAAAAAAGCTGAGTTTCAGACTGCAATCTTGTGCACCTTTACTAAAGAGTAAGTTCCCCTGAATTTAGAAGAGCTACTCACATAGGATTCCACTGCTAGTCATGGAATTCCCATGTTGCACATAGTTGTCCTTAAATAAGGTCTCATCTCTCAGTCTCATTCTTTAAAATGTGAACATAATTGACCTATTCTGTAGGATGAGATGAATAAACAAGTGACAATAATAATTATAGGATTTTTTTAATTTGGAAAAAAAATATTGAAAATACAGTAATTTTATGCAATCTGTATAATTATAATAAGTCAACAGCATCGTATGACTAAATATTGTCCTGATACTTATCATTCCAAAACATCACAGATTAAAAAAAATCACTCTAAAAAATGTTTCTGTTATTTGCTCTTCTGCAATATGTTAATTTAGACATTAGATTTTCTCAAACCTTTCTGACAGTGATGGAGTAGTTAATTAACAGGTTTCTTTTAATTAATCAGATCTGAATTTTTTATTTAAAGTAAATGGTAACAATTTAATCACCAGTTGTGCCAAAATTATTTAGTAACAGTGCTTTTGTTGTTTTTGTTAATATTGGCAGGAAAATCCGTCATTTTGTATCTATCAAGAAGCTATGTTGCACCAATGACAGCAACAAACAGGTACTGTGTTTTCTTTGAAGTATACAACCGCCTTTCTTGATAGCATCCCATAGTAATAACTGTTTTTCTTCACACAGCCAGTACATTATGTAATATTTAAAATATGAGTGCCAAAACATACTATCTGGAAGACTTCACCAGGTAGCATGCAAGTTTATTTGACCAAGCAAAATGACTGGGCCAGATTTTGGGGAGAGAATTATGCAGTCTTTCAAGTTACACAGAATACATCATGTAGCAGAATTTGGTCCTAGGGAAAGCTAAATTGTTTACAGGTGCAAATAGAGTTGTCAGAAGAAAAGGAAGCACACATCTGCATACCACAAGGTTGTCTGTGCAGCTAAGGTTTAGCTAAATCAGAAGTTTATGTGTCTATTTCCTTTTCTTTTTTTCACATGACACCAGACCTACAAGACCCATCGTGATGAAAAGTGTGCAGGAGACCAGTTTCAGTCAGGTTAGAAAATAATCTTTCTTCAAATGGCATCATTTTATAATCATCTAAATTCTCTCAGCAGTGTGTATGTATATATATTTAAGTACCATCAAGGATCTAGCAGAACTGGTACTTTCCCCCCTGAGGGCTTTCCTAGAATTATGCCTACAGATTATGCCTTCTGCCAGGTTGGATGGTAGATGCAAAGAGATGCCTATCTCTCAACAGATTTGAAGGTAGAGAATGTAATCCATTATGTATTGAAATGTGCTTTACATGGTGGTTCAAGGGCAAAATTATTGAGAAACATTTTGGCTAGCTTAACAACCTACTCTGATCAAGAAAATAAATTTTCTTAAATATCTTTATCCGTAAATGAGAAATTAATTAAAACAAATGTGTGTGTGAAAATAAATTCTGGCCACTTTTAAAATACCTTCCTGTAATATTTCTAGACTCTCACTCCTTCAGATGCAAGAACAGGAGAAAAGAATCTATTGATGTCAAATCAATAACTTCTCGGAGCAGCGATGGTAAGGACACCAATGTGTGGAGAATATTTCTAGCAGTTCAGGATCCTGGATTAGATTGCTGCTGCTACTGCCACTGTTCATTTTTGAAGATTTGAGAGAGAGGCACTTGATTTGTCTTCAAGGTTTTTGTTAAAAGTAGCTCCCTATTGTCTGGGCTATTGAGCAACAATAATAGAAAGCAGTACAATTTAGAACAGTGGAAAGTATTTGGGGGCAGAGGTGTCTCCATCTCTTACTGGCAAATAATTTATTACTCTCTGAGAACATACGATGGGACCGTAGCTTCTTTATTTATTTTATTACATTTATATCCTGCCTTTCTTTCATCATGGAACTCAAGATAGACCCACACATCTAAAATAATGCAATGTATGAGGATGTAGATTTTTACTTTTGTTTGTTTTAAATGCCAAAATGTTTCTGTTTAATGGCAGCCCCAAGTTTACAGAATCGTCGGTATTCATCAATGGCAAGAATACACTCCATGACGATAGAAGCCCCAATCACAAAGGTAAGAGTCAACAACTTTCTGATAAAATTTCACACACATCAGCAATCGGGACAGATACAGCAAGGCTTTTTCAAGGCATTCAGATATCTTATGATGCGCTCAGCCAACACAGTACGTTTCACATCACCCCAATGACCTGGTTTGCATGTAACACTAAGCCAAACCATGGCTAAGTGTGAGCATGATAGTGTGCATGTACTCTCAGTTAAAATCATAACGGCTTCACTCCCCCTCCAGTTATCCAGCTGTTACGCTACCTGGAATTATGTCATGGTTTGGCCTGGCATTATATTGCTGTAGGCAAACTATGAGTTGTAGCCACTATTTGTTTTTCGCTTACTATTCATGGTTTGTCTTGGATACACAAACCATTAGTGTGAGTTCGGACATAACACTACATGCATACTGGACCAATAACTATGTAGTTTCTACTATAGCAGATAAATAAAAGGTGTGGCAACTTAAAGCCAAGCTAATTTTAAGATGTTGCTTATCAAACACATGAATGGAGACCATGCTATTTATTCATTCAGATGCCTCTAAAAACTTATTGTAAACATGTCCTTGTAAACTCACAAGAAATGGACCAAGGATGTTTTTTCTAAAATATTAACTAATACTTTATCTTTATGAACTATTATTACATAATAGAACTGCCCAACTTGAATCAGTAATCAACTAAGAGTGCACTCCTGTACATCTTCACTTAGAAGCAAGTACCATTGAGTTCAGTAGGGTTTACTCCCAGGAAAATAGGAATAGGATTACAGGCACGAACTTTAATTGCTTACTCAGTGATGCCAATTTTAATCATGTAGGCAAGTGGTTTTCAACCAGTGTGCCGTGGCACCCTACAGTAACTTGAAAGATAATAATATTATAATTTATTACTTATACCCTGCACATCTGGCCGGGCCTCCCCAGCCACTCTGGGTGGCTTCCATCAGAATATTAAAAACACAATAAAACATCAAACATAAAAAACTTCCCTAAACAGGGCTACCTTTAGATGTCTTCTAAAAGTCAGATAATTGTTTATTTCTTTGACTTCTGGTGGGAGGGCATTCCACAGGGCGGGCGCCACTACCAAGAAGGCCCTCTGCCTGGTTCCCTGTAACCTCACCAACACTTTGAATTATGCTCGGAAACATACTGGGAGCCAATGTAGGTCTTTCAGGACCAGTGTTATACGGTCTTGGCGACCACTCCCAGTCACCAGTCTAGCTGCCGCATTCTGGATTAATTGCAGTTTCTGAGTCACCTTCAAAGGCAGCCCACCTAGAGCGCATTGCAGTAGTCCAAACGGTCAGGGGTGCCGCAGGCAACACTGCCCTCCCTCTTTTCTTCTCTCCCTCTTCTGATGCCCTCTCATGTCTCTGCCTCCCAAAGGCTTGCATAGCTGTTTATTGCAGCAGCCCAGGCTATAAGCTCCACAGGCAAATGGTACCTCTGGCAGGCACCTCTCTTTGGGGCAGGGGGGGCACTCCCTGGAGAACTCACAAGGAGAGGGGAGAGGAGAACAAGCCGAGGGAACACTCCACAAGGGAAGGTGTTCAAAAAAGGGTGAGAAGCTGCCAGCGCTGCAGGCAAGGGGTAACATAACTGGGCTCCTGAGCCCCACAGGGGTGCCGCAGAAAGAATGTAGTTGGTTAAGGGAGCCGTGGACTCAAAAAGGTTGAAAACCTCTGATGTAGGCAAATTGTAATCAGTTGTTAATGGTACATTTGTTACTGTTTAGTGTCTATTTTGCACTCATTGTAACAGGGTTTGAAAATATAAAATACAGTCTGTCCCTATAACAGTGATAGCTTTTGCTTATAAGTTTTAAATTATCATAGTACTTTCAATATTCTCAAAAAGGCACCTATATTGAATTTTTAGCAATACACAGCTGTACATTAATCTAAATGGTAAATTAATTAGTTAATTATTTAAATAAGATGATTAATCAACTGCTTTATTCATCTGATGTTCCTTTTACATACTAATTCCTTAATGGTTTCATGTAGACTAAAAATGAGCAATAGCTGTTATATATTTCTGTTTGTAACCCCGTAGGTCATTAATATAATCAATTCTGCTCAAGAAAACAGCCCTGTAACTGTAGCAGAGGCCTTGGATCGGGTTTTGGAAATCTTACGGACAACAGAACTTTACTCTCCTCAGTTAGGTACCAAAGATGAGGATCCTCACACTAGTGATCTTGTTGGAGGTCTGATGACTGTGAGTAAGAAGACACATATCAAACAACCAATTTCACTCACTGTTGTGGGGTGTTTCAGCTGAGCTGATGTTCTAAGCAAAATTCCTGTGGCTTCTCAATTGCCTCATTACATTGATAGTACTACAAACCATAACATTCCGTCAGCCTTCTGTTGCTGGTGCTTGTTATGGGAAAAACTGTTAAGATTTATGTAAGCAGCATATGGAACGCACAGTAGGAGGAATATATTGAACTTTGCCCTGGTTCACCAAAGCGGAGCTCTGTGGATACAGAAAATTGCCTCTGTAAACTGCTCCAGATAAGCAGCCATGAAGGAGGATAGCATGCAGCTTTAATGTCAGATTGAATTCTCAGTGGTGGTGCAAGTTTTATAGCGTATTTATTTAAGCAACATTCACACATTCATTGTATGTGCTTTTCTAATTATTTGGAGCATAATTTATATTGCTTAGTGCATAAACGTAATGATACCCTAATCCTAATCTTCCCTAACCTTTTGCGGCTTGATCACAATGTCTTTTAAGAGTGCACCCTTCTCCTTTTTTCCTTGGTGTGTGGAATCAGTGTGCAAATATTTTTTGTTTTATTTCAGGATGGCTTGAGAAGGCTGTCAGGAAATGAGTATGTATTTTCCAAAAGTAAGTTCCCACGTCCAACTCTCTTTAACACATGCCTGTTTTATTTGTTGCTGTTGTTACAAAGCAATTAAGTCTTGCTGAAAATCACTGGTGCAGAGAATCCTTCAAACACACAATAAAAGGTCCAGTTCTTACACAGCAGTTACTTGATTCAGTAAGGAATATCTATGTATGGAAGATGTTGAGGCTTATCTTGGTGGGTATATCCAGCTGTGTCATATGTTCAACTTGACCCCGTTGAACTGGCTCATTGCATCTTCTTGATGGGCTTATACATCCCCATTCAGGGTCACCAGTTGTTACATGTGATTTGCTGCCTGCAACTAGAGGTGTATCAGGACCAGAGAAGACAGTGTTGGAAAACACAAGCTGGGCGATAGGAGTGTGTTAAACACAGAATTGCCCCAGTAACATAGAAAGAGGGTGCCTTGGCATAAAAACTGCAGGGAGGTAAACTACAGGTGAGGGCAGTGCCTTACCACCATGCATGCCACCTTTGCATATGCACCTCCCCACTCCACATCAGGGCAGTTCCATTTACACACACATGAGATTGTAGCCTCTGGATTGGATCCTGATATAGTTATACTAAGATTAGACCCATTGAAATCAATGAATCACAACAAACAAGTCCCACTGATTTCAGTTACTAAGCCTGGATTCATCCCGTCGTGTCTACCTTGGTCCAAATACTTAATTTCTACTAAGGATTCTTCAGTGTGGTGTAGTGGTTAGAGTGGTGGACTAGGACCTGGGAGACCAGGGTTCACATCCCCACTTGGGCATGAAACTCATTGGGTGGCTGTGGGCCAGTCGCTGCCCCTCTGCCTAACGTATAGGGTTGTTATGTGGATTAACTGAGGAGGAAGAGGAGAACCATGTGCCCCACATTGAGCTCCTTAGAGGAAAAGGCAGAAATATAATTGAAATAAATAAATTTATCATTTCAACAGATACCACGAACCAGAGCCATGGTCACCTCTCTGTGCCAATTACTATCAATGACGTTCCACCCTGTATTGCACGCTTACTGGATAATGAAGAGAGCTGGGACTTCAACATTTTTGAACTGGAAGCTGTTACAAATAAAAGGCAAGCCTTCTCTCTGCATTGTGTTAGATAGAGGTATAGAAGTGGAAGGTGTTGCTGAACAAGCTGTGGCACAAATTAAGCTTGTGTCATCTATGACTTGCTTAGTTGTAGCTGCCTGTCTCTGGCAGATGTTGATACAGGAAGCCAGGAGTAACTTGTGCTTCCCCCTCCTGTGCTTCCTGGTGGATGTGTGGAGTGGGCATGATTCCCAAAGCTGCCAGAATAATACCCTTTTTACTTTATGTTACATTTGTTGTGGTTAGTTTAGCAAGAGCAGGACAGATCTATATGCAGCTCCATCCTTTCTGTCTTGCGACTCCCTTCAAGAGCTACTACATGGTGCCACCAATATTTCTTTCTTTCTTTCTTTCTTTCTTTCTTTCTTTCTTTCTTTCTTTCTTTCTTTTTCTTTCTCTCTCTCTCTCTCTCTTCACTTCCCATTGAAATTAAACTTAAGAACATGCAACTGCATGTTAAATCTATTATGCTCCTATGACCCCTTGCCTCTTCAGGCCAGAATACATTAAATACAGTTTGAGGTGTTAAAGCTTCCCCCCCCCCCCAAGCTGTCAGCCCTCCTAAAATGCTGCTCAGCTGCTGTTTGGCACAGAAAAGTAACTGCCATTGACATCGATGACAGCTTCTCATCTGTGCCAAACAGCAACTGAGAGAGGGAGCTCTTAATTAGAACTACAGCACTGGAAGATAGTGGTAACCCTTCATGCCTTTGCGCCATGGTCCTGATCCTAATTGCCCCCATGTGGCTGCTGTTTTTAAAAAAGGACTGCACAATGCCAAGCTGTGCATTTCACGTCATGTAATTTGGCTCTTCCTTTCATTCCTTCCTTTTATATAAGTCTCCCCACTGTCAAAATGCTGATTGTCAACTTCACATGGCAAGCAAGCACACACAGGGATAGTGGTGAAATGTATCCAGTAAATGGAAGCTGTTGCTAACCAAAGTCTGCAAGAGCAAGAAGACTGATAACGAGTGCCTTTCCTGCCTTGTTTTACCATCTCCCTTTCCAATTATGTTTCAGGCCACTGGTTTACCTGGGTCTGAAAACTTTTGCCCGCTTTGGTGTCTGCGAATTTTTAAACTGTCCCGAAGCCACACTGCGAGCCTGGTTCCAGGTGATTGAAGCCAACTACCACTCCTCCAATTCCTATCATAACTCCACTCATGCAGCTGATGTCTTGCATGCCACAGCTTTCTTTCTGGGGAAAGAGAGAGTTAAGGTACAATTTTTGCTAAGATTTCCTATACTTATGTTCAACAAGTTATGACCGGGTGTTTCCATGGTATTTATTTGAAGTCCCTCACTGCGCTGCTTACTATCTGAGAGTAGTTATACAATCATTTTTATATGGAAAAATGTCACTATGTGGTGGCATCTCCCAATCATTTTTCTATGGTTATTGATATTTATAAATCAGCAGTGGGGAACCTTTGGCCATGAGTCTAAGTAGACACACCGGGCTTCCCCATTTTGGCCAAGCCCTACACTTGATGTAATATATGAGGTGTGGGGCATGTAATGCAGCTGATTATCAGGGAACTGTGCATGGGGCACACAAAGCATTGACAATCAACTAATGGTCAATGCTTACATAGCTTTATTCATAACGCTATACAAAAACAGATTACTTGACATTGTTGTGATGTCAGGTGATTTGACAGGTGGAAGGAATAAGAATATGGTCTGCTGGCCAGATCCAAACCCCCAGCTCTGTTGTAAATGGATCTTCAGAAGATGAAAATGAGCTGCATCTATGTAGCCATTGAAACTAATGCTGCATTCCCCATAGTTATGGGTGGATTACACTGGATGGGTAAATTTCCCATCGGGAAAATTACAAGAAACTCCTGCCTCTAGATTCTACAAACTCACCCAGACTTGCATATCAGTGACTCTACTGGTGATTACTGTTACATTTTTATTTTGATAAATACTGTATAGGTGAACAAGACTTAATTCTTTCTTGTAGGCAAGCCTTGATCATTTAGATGAAGTGGCTGCATTAATAGCTGCAACAGTTCATGATGTGGACCACCCAGGACGGACCAATTCTTTCCTGTGCAACGCAAGCAGTGAGCTTGCTGTACTCTACAATGACACGGCTGTGTTGGAAAGCCATCACACAGCTCTGGCGTTCCAGCTCACCGTAAAAGACAACAAGTGCAACATTTTCAAAAGTCTCAATAGGTTAGCTTCCTCACAGTTCTCTTTGTTTTGAGTACGTGAAGATACATTTTTTTGTGGTTGTGTGCGAGATCTGCCTCCCCCCCCAAAAAAAATTCTGTTTATAGATGGATGTCTGGAATTTTGTGTCAACAATCACATCAGTGCTCCAGAATGCAGAGGGCTGGCCTATATGAGATGGCTAGCATTCATCAGCATATGTCCAAAACTTGGGTTTTTCTTTTCTTTTCCACACATTTATCTGCTATGGTCAGCATTCTCATGGGAATGTTGCCTTTCTCCAAATTTTGGACACTTATTGTAACATACATATAGTTAAAAAAACACACACAACCCAAGCACCTCTATCTTCCATATCTGTGCAGTGTGTACCAATTATATTCCAAGTTGAAGTGTTATGAAAATGTATTTCTTCTCCAGAAATTTGGGATATTTGCTATTTTTTAGGGGAAATAGTTGGGCCTGTACCTTGGGATTACATAGATGAATACTTACTCACTTTGTATGAATATGTGAAAGTGATTACAAGGGATGTATTCATAATGTGATTCTTTGGCTGGAATGTTAAATGTGAATTTGGAGGCCTGATACCATACCTGGGAAATAGTGAATGGCTGCAGATGGTGAGCCACACTACTGCTTAGCCGAGATTCCTCTTTTTTAACAGTATTTGATAACTTTCTTTAGAGCAATTTTAGCCCACTCCTGCTCTATCTCCTTTTATAATCCTTTCTCTTAAACCTTCCTGCTTCCCGTGGGGATCCAAATGTTCTGAGTTCTTAAACACTCTTCTTTTCCCTTTTCCCAGAAATCATTACCGAACGCTTCGTCAGGCAATTATCGACATGGTTTTGGCAACAGAAATGACAAAGCATTTTGAGCATGTGAACAAGTTTGTGAACAGCATCACCAAGCCCATGTCCTCGGAAGAAGCACAGGTATTTTAAGTAGATGTATATTATGTGCATTTCAGTGGCACTTTCTTTTCATATTACCAGAATTCATACATCCACAACCAGGATCTGTGTTTTATGCTATTAGGTGCAAACCATGTCCAGGTGCTCAATCTCATAATAATATATTGGGCAATGTGCATTGTTTCTTTTCCACTGATGGAAGGCATATAGAGCGAAAAATACAGTAATTGGATTGCATGAACCAAATGTCACATAATGCATCACATTGTCATACAATAAATCCACATCTGTACGATACAATAAAAGGGACATATAACACGGTAGGCTCTCCTGTACTGCTTCCTAAAACAACCAGGTTTGTTCAGGGTTGTTACTTAATATTACTTATATTAAGGTGTAGTTTAAAAGTGTTATGATAGTGTTTTCATAGCAGTTGTGAGCAGTTATGCTAACCCCCACTTTTAACTATGTATCTGCATTTCAGAATGAGGGTAGTGACTGTGAATGTACAACCAATCTCAAGAACATTCCAGATAACCAGACGTTGATTAAGCGCATGATGATCAAATGTGCAGATGTTGCAAATCCATGTCGCCCTCTAGAACTGTGTATTGAATGGGCTGGGAGGATTTCAGAAGAATATTTTGCACAGGTATGACTTTATAATTTTAAAAACTGAATACTAACATAGCTTTTAGCATGAGAAAAATAATTTTACTTCTAAAATGCTCTTGTGTTTTCAGATGACTAGAAAGCACATGCTATCTGTATTTCCCGCCTCAGCTTCTACCATCAATAACAGCTTCATATGCCATGACAGAATTCATTAAGTATAATTGATCAAACAGTTTAAGATAGCAGATGCTAAGCAAGTGCACACTCTCTTAAAAAATATACTGGAGTGATTCAGAAGCACTTTGAACATTGCAGCAAATAAACAACCAACCAACCTCAATTCGGCAAAGATTTGAAGAGTCTGCTGAAACTCAATCTTTGATTAGAATGTGTTATGTAACTGGAAAAATGCATGAAAATAATGAAATCAGACTTGGATGATTGTGATGCAGTCAAAGAATCTCAAATTGTGAAATCTGTTATGTGAAGTGCTATGGGGGGGGGGTGTGGCCTGGGTAAATTATTTGAACAGCCAAGAAAGGCAATGCAGTGCACTGACAAGTAGAGAAAATGGAAGGAACCAATTTGTGAATTGACACTTTACTTATTTTTTATTGAAGGCATTTATATACCACTTAATCATTATCATTTCTAAGCAGTTTACATGAGAGTTTATAGCCTGGAGAAGGCTGCACTGATGCAATAGGATGGAAATATTTTTGAGTGAGAATGAAGTTCTCCATGCCTCTACAACATCATAGCTGCTTCCTGGTGTACAGCTATTTCCTAGTCCAGTGGTTCAATCAGCCACCTTTGAAGCAAACCATTCTGGAACTGCATCTGCTCACCTTGCCCTGTCCAACTGGTTTTAGCACTTGAGGCTGAGTGTTCATTCTTTTTCTCTGGCTCATTTTCCTGTATGGGAACAGCAGCAGCAAAATCCTAAATTGGACTTAAGAGATATTATTGATTATTTCAATTTGTACCCTCCTTTTCTACATACATGTGCCCATGATGTGCAAAATGCCTGTTCATCTTCTGGGATAGTTTGAAGCAAAAACTAATCTTCAGGTCCCATGGATTTTTTTCTCTCATAATTTTGGGGATAGCAGTTCTGTGCTCCTGCTCCAGGTAGAATATTTTTAATTGCAACTGCAAGTAGGGTTTGTTTTCCTGAGCTATTGCTCTGTACTGTTAAGATCATATATGATATACACACATACACCCCCCAAAAAATTGTGTAATCTTTGCTTTGGCTGCACAAATTGACTTCAATTATTTTGTTTTCTACAGACGGATGAAGAAAAGAGACAGGGTCTGCCAGTTGTTATGCCAGTTTTCGATCGAAACACCTGTAGCATCCCCAAGTCTCAGATATCCTTCATTGATTACTTCATAATGGACATGTTTGATGCTTGGGATGGTGAGAAGTTGCATTTTCTTTTTTCTCTGTGGAAGAACAAATTTCTTACTGTTTCACCCCAAAGGTGGTAGGATATAAAAGTCTAAATCCATATGGCCAGGGACTGTGCATCACAGAATAAGCCTAAGTTCTGGGTTACCCAGTACCATGGGAAATCTGTGCTAGTGCAGATAGCACAACCTCTCGGGCTGGGGTGCTTGGAAATTGCACACCGCTGGTGAATGTGTACTTTTAATGGTGAATGCAGGTGAAAAAGGGCCTCCCCTAATGTACTGATTTTAGGGATTACTATGTTTTACGGCAGCTCAGTAAGGACTACAAAATTGCTTTGGATTATTTTTCAATAATTTTTAAATAGTTGCTGTTCTGAAATAAATAGAAACTATATTCTACAGCAACTGTTTTAGCACAGAGCACAATTTTATTTTCCAGTTTCCTAACTAATGATCTAATTATGTAGCCAAAATGACACTGTCAACTCACAAGCCATCAGCAGGATTGGGGAAACAGCCCAATAAAAACTGAGCATGCTCAGCTGCTGCAGATGACAATGCAGGAATGGAAACTTGAGGGGTGTGTGTATGCTGAGTAACCTGAAAAACAGCATGCCTGGTTGACTGGCACCCTGAACAGGAGAATATTCCATGCTGCAGCATTTTGTTGCAGATCCCACTTGTGCTTTTGGAGAAAGTTAGCCACTAATAAAACTAGGTATCATTTTTTGTATATACTATTCTTTGTTTTGTACCAGCAGTTGACTAAATAATTCAGTACAAAGGCTGAAGACTATTCACTGTGAGAACACTTCCCTCAAGTTGACACTATGTTTTTTCAGTTGTTGCTGGGCTTTGACAGTAAAGCATTTCTTTTCTCTTCCTCTCTCAGCATTTGCACACCTACCTGATCTGATGCAACACTTGGCAAATAACTACAAACACTGGAAAACACTAGATGAGCTAAAGTGTAGGAGCCTCCGGCTTCCTTCAGAGAACAATAACGGAAGCTGAAGGGAGGATATGGAACATCATAGCCTACCACTCACACTGTGAACCACTTACTGGTATGAACCCAAGAGGGGGAAATTTCCTTCACAATGAAGTAACCAACAGGGCAGCATGGAGAAGACTATTGTTTCTCAATTTTAAATTGTTCTAAATTCTACACAACTTTGTTTTTTTATATATAAAAATGATAATCGAGAAACCAATATATGCTTTATAGAGCTATTCTCTTTTTGTGGCACAATGGATCCTTTTAAATGTAATTTTATATAAAACAAATTGTTATAATTTGTCAAATTATATGATTGGTGTAAGCTGTTTGCAGGCCAGGATCAATTATACACATGAACTCCATGTGAGAGGGCAGAATTCTACCAAAAGCTAGCTTCTCTGGAATAACTATCAATAACATTTGATAGACATAAGCATTTTGGGGGAGCCTGGTTTACAGCAAATATCCTTTATGTGAAACGTAACCCAAGAACAAAACAAAAACAAAACAAAAAGCGATTGGAGAAAGAAATTTGAGGGGGTAAACAGCAAATTCAACTGTCCTTTCTTAGAGAAAAATAATTATTTTAATAGCAAAGTTAGTTAATCAACTATCAACTTTGTTCTCTTTTGTATATGGTACAATTTCTGTGATCTAAACCTGTCTGTGCATACTGCTTCCCTCCTTAAGCTGGCTTTCCTGCGGACTTAAATGTTAGGAGGCCATTTGCATGCACAATAGGAATGCAGCCACAGAAGTAGCTCCATTACTAAAGTTGCACAGTAATGTGGGGACTCTACACACTGTGGTTTCTAGATACACAAGGAGGCCTGGGAGCTGCTTTACTTATTAAACCAATTTTGTATAAAATTTTAGTAGGCAGTAATGAAGCCCATAAATTTGAGCCAATCTGTTCTCTTCTCTGCCTTCTAAACAGGTGACAGTGAGCCATATTGTGAAAGTCCATACAAGCAACTAAAGTCAGGGACTGGCACTTGTTGCATCTGTTGCTTCAATAGCACAATCATGCTTTGTGATGTTGTACCGTTCCAGTTTTATATCTGCCTGCTAGAATGGGGAGCAGAGTGTGACAGATGCTTATTTACATGAGCCATAAGGAAAAGAAACCCTGCTTAGATAGATATGCACACCCTCAAGCCATATTCAAAAAGGTCTCCAGAATCTACACTTGTACAGAGGCATCCTATTATCTTTCTATGAGAAGGGAAATGGCTGCTCATACATTGTATTTCCCTCATAGAGGACAGGAAAGCCCCTGTGCCTTTATAGTGTCCTGGATTGCAGCCATAGTAATTACTCTTAAGACAGTGACCTTAATATCAAGGACCCAAGACAATGTATACGCTAAATATAATCTTTAATGTTAAGAACAGAACAAAAACACAAGGTTCAGGTTGTATTGCTATTTGATGTAAGCTGCTTCAAGAGCTGCAGTTAAGAATGATGTATCTTAAAAAAAATAAAATGTAATATAGACCTAATAAGATTCATTTTTAAGTTACGGATAGGGAGGTCCTCTTGGGCAAGCCCCATAGAAATGGATGGAAGTTGCATTCTTAGCAACCTACCATTCATTTCACTAGGGCTCCTGTAGGAGTGAATCCTAGTGAGTTGTGCTATTTTCCAGAGTACTATGGAAAATAATTTCAAGTTTCAGGATACCCCCCTGGAGTGAACACTTTGAATAAATTTTAAATATACAACTGACAGACGGAGAATGGGAAGCTCTTTTTATTTATTTCTCTTTCCTTATCATTTTCTCTCTTTTCATTTATTATTTTTATCTTTCTGTAACTTTTTATTTTCCTTTTCTGCTTTGCTCCTGCTTCGTTTGGTTTTTTTTATGTCCTCTAGTCTGGGTCAGTGAGGGGATTATATGCAAATGAAGGTGGAGGATGGCAGGTGAAAGTCCCTATGTGAGAGGCAGGGAAGATCTCCCAGGGTGGCAGAAGATCAGGAAGCTTTCAGGTGAGAGCTGGGAGGAGCCACCTCTTTCTGTGTGAGACAAGGATTGAGATCTACCTTTGAGAGAGGAATTCACATTTCCCCTCCTCTTTTTCTGTTTTTGTACTGTAGTATGAAAAGCCTTAATAAAATCTTATCAAAAGAAAGAATATGATTTATAGTTTTTGACCAGTAGTTAGTTCTTGTACTGACTTAGAAAATCATCAAATTGGCTATCAGTGACACAAAGTCCTTCAAATTAGTCAACTATTACTTAACGCTGCACATTACAAGGGACTCTTCTAATGCTGAAATGCATATGATCTGATATAAAGTATTACACTGCCCTCCCAAAAGGAAAAAAACTTTGGCCATCTCCATATTTTTGTGCTGAGTCCAAGGAGGAAAACCAGGTGAAGTAAACAATAGTGTTACTACTGATGAAAAATGATTGTAGCTTACATAATGTGCCAACATTTTTTCAATGTTTTGTATCAAGTTATGTAAAATACTGTAAAACATTCATATACTTTCCATGCAGAGAAATGTATAGAAGCTATATTTTTGTTAGAACTCTAACAGCACCTAACTTCCGTTGCTATGTATTACAATGCTACATTGTGTTGTTTAAAGAATGGTGTGTTCACTGCAGTATTCATAAGTTCCATTATGTACTAATAGCAAAGCCTATATCTGATTAAATTTTAATTCATTTTTATTCACATAGCCTTAGCTCCAGTTCTGTTACAGTTAAATGTGTGTGCCTTCTCTTCATGCTCTCATTCAATCCAATTTTGTCAACATCATCAGAATACACAGTAATTGAAACATATGCAACAAAAATCCTGGGGTTCAAAGTATATAACTTACAAATAGACAAAATGCACCAGTGTAAGACTACATTATCAAAGAAGCTCATCTCATTCAATGCCTCCCTCAGAGCAGTTTTAGTACCTTTTTGTTTGGGCATGCCCCTATTGACTGCATGTTTTCTGTTAATACATGAGTCAACTTACATTTGACAAACTGTCCCTAATGTTTTAGACAACCCTTTCAGAATCCACTGGTAAGAGGGGCCTCTCCCAAAGTTATCAGTCCACTTTAGTTCAATCCTACAAGATGCTATGTAAGTTAGCTGTTGATATAAAGGAATGGTTTCAATGAGGGTAAGGTAAGCTCTTTCTACACCTCACAGTCCACCGTCTTTGGCAGTGTCATAGAGGAAAACTTGGCAGTCTTGTGGGTTAATAGTTCCTCAATGCTGATTAAAGTGTTTTTTAAAAAGGTTCCAGACAAAAAATACACAAAAGTTTTTTTAAAAAATACTTAAGACTTTAAATAGCTTATTTCTATTATTCATATTCCATACCTTTATCCCATATATTTACGTCCTTTTAGATCCTAAGCTGCAAATCTTCACTGTGTTCTAACTTATGAAATAACAGTAAGCTGCGCAATCTCGACTCTCGTTCTCCATCTTTCCACAAAATAACAAGGTGATCAGCAGAGCATGTTGCCAGGCCATGTTCACTGAAGTACAGGAACATCTGCAACAAAAACTGTATAATCAATACAATATACTCAACTATGACTTTTTTTATCAACATTCACAAAATAAAGTCAATAAATTAACACACTTGCCCAAAATGGTAACGCCTCAAGAACATAAAAGCCAACCTGGTTAGGCTCAAGTATCTGGGAGACATCAAAAGATATAATCATAAAATAAGCCAAACAGAACTAGAGCAGCAGGAAGTATGGAGCCAATTCTGTGCTCCTAAAACAGATTTAAGAAGTGAGAGTAAAAACCAGGACCCAATGAACTATTTTAGGAATGTTCAAGGGCACAGGCACACCTAGCAGTTTTAAACTCTTTAAAAAAACACACAGAAGAACATTATGCCTGCTGCTGAAGGTTACCTCAATAAGAAAACAGTTTTTATGAACAAGCCCAACTTTGGGGCATGTTGAGCAAGTTGCATGATCTATTTTACATGCCAAAATACTGGTGCAAACAGAACAAATAACATGATTATAGCTGCAGTTCTATACACACTTACCTAGGGATAAGTCTCATGGAATTTAGTGGGACCTACTTCTGGGTAAGCATGCAGAGAGTAGCACAGGAAGTATTTTCATATGTAGTAAGGACAATGTTGAACGAAGTAGTTTGCTATTTCTAGTTCCTCTAGTTTATTAGAACTGTAACTGACATACCACTCAAAGGATGAGGCACCTGAGAGTTAAGGTAAGAGTTTTCTTCCCTGGTTTGTGTCATAATAGAACACAAAAAGAACACAATGAATGCCTTCTAGGCTGAGACTTCAATTTTCACAGACTACTGTACTTGCATGTCTCAAGATCCAATTAGGGAAGAAGCTCTGACTCCTTATACAGTCTCAAAGAAATCTAGTCCCTATGTAGCTGTTTAAGAGAAATAACCCTTATAGTTACAGGAACAATGGCAGCAATAATTCCAACAAACCTGAACAGCTAAAGAGTGCCCAATCAAATCCCCAAGGAGATCCAAGGAGAAAACAGTGGTGCTCTCTGGTGGCTTTTTAGCTGCATGACTGGCTTGTTTACTTGTCCTTCCGAATCCCCACATACTGAAAAAGCCTGGAAAATAGACAGTTGGTTGAAGTAAATGAGTTTCCTGCAGACTACATCAGGTTTCTACTTCTTCATTTGTTTGCTTCCTGCCAAAATCCAGGCATTCAAACCAAGCGGTCCATGAACTTATCAGAAGGGTCATGGGATGTTTTGTTACCACAAGCTAGTGGCTGTCAAATGATGGCCCTTAAGCTAACCAAGGCATATAAAATGGGATGCTGTCTAACTAAATATCTTTGGCAAACATAAATATACTTCTATCCAGCCAACTCAATGGTCATTATCTTACAAGCTTCTATATGAGAACAGCTGTGTAGAAATGGCTACATATACATTCACATTAAAATGTCTCTCTTGCTTTCTGAGCAACTTTCACACAAACAAATTTAGCAGAGTGACAAAATAACATTTTAATTTTGTGCAGCCCTGGTCACTCTACTGGCATTCACCAGCATATTCCTTCTATCTCAGATATTGTGTAAACAATCCTCATTCTGGATACAGACCTGAAGGAACGGGTTCAGCTGTAAGCTGCTGTTTTTCTCGTAATTCCCATATGCGAACACTGCCATCTTCTGAACAGGAGATTATTTGCCTGTAAACCAAATGTGACTTACTTATTACTGGAGTGCCATGCAGAACCATCATATTACTGGAGCGTCTTTAGCAGAATTTCACAAAACAAAGACTCTAATTGTGACCTAATGTTTAGAATTAATGTTCCCAGTGGGCCTGCTTTCTGAAGGATACCTTGCTGAACATCAGCCCAGATTCAACTAACATCAACAACAGAGGTGATTCTGGCAGTCCCTGTCAAAGAAGGCAGGCAGGAGATATTGCCTGTCTTGAGTGTGGAGTAAATCCATTGCCACAAAGACCGCTCTTGTCCTGGTGCTATTTAATAACTACGTGCTGCTGCTGGGAGAGATCTTTGGTCAGTGGTGGAGTCTGGGCTCTCAAATCTCAGCAGTGCCCTGTGCAACCCTAAAATTCCTCCCACCTCCGCCTCCCAACCTCCATTCTACGGCATTGTTGTGGCACCACCTGCAGCATGACATCCAATGTTAGCAATAATGTGTTTAATGAACATGAATGGGTTTCTTTTTGTTAATTGTACATCAGAATTTCAGTACTGCAATTTAAAAATAAATAAGTGAGCAATTCAGGCTAAAGACCAGGATTATCATGCAGCCAGGGAAGCAAAATATAACAGGTCAATGGTTGCTCAAATATTTTATAATGAAAGGTTGGGGGGTTGGGTGAAATGAACAAACATCAAGTGTGGCCCTCTTCATCTTTCTGGTGCTTACATTTCCAGCGTATGAAAAATTTAGTGTAACTTGCACCTGTTTGGAACTTTTGTAATGTGCAGGACAGTGGAGTCATGAGCAGTCTTCTGGAAGGCAATCACACGCTTCATTTGAAGGTTATACACGTATATGCCCTTTCCAACAGCAGTGAACACACACTGGAAAGAAAATTCAATAGAACATCTTAACAAGGCAGACATATTACGTTGTGTAATGGATTTCCAGGAGGACTGTGACACTGTTACCTTTCAATCTAAACCAAATAGCTCAGAAGGCAAGAGGTGCGTAGCTCCTTAAACTGTAATTACCACTATTACTAAAATAGTTTTTGCATTATGCCTCAATTCATATAAATACTACAATCCTATTGCTGTCGGTGGCATCTAATAAACTATAAAGCACAGACAGCTATTTCCATCCACAACCCTTTTCAAGGCCCATAGGTTTGTAAAAACCTTGTTCTGCCAGACCTTTGCTGGCCTATGTGTTCAGTTTCTTTCTAGCCCCCTGCTGCTGACTACAATTTAACAGATTTACTACTGACTGGGTGCATTTGGTCAAAGAAATCTCAGCTTAATAAGCTGAGATATGAAGAAGCCACACATGACCACTTTCTTCCTCCCTTTGTGCAAGCAGGAAAACAAACCAGGATAGAAGTATATTTAGCCATAGCTTGCCATTACAACTGAACCAGTAGCTATGATTTATGGCTTTCAAGTAAGAAAGGAAATTAAAAGCCAATGTTAAACTATAACTTTGTATTACGACTTGTTTGGCAGCCATTAACCACAGTTTCACCATTTGGAAATTATCAGGAAACTGTGATTAAATTATTATTATTATTATTATTATTATTATTATTATTATTATTCTGTATTTGTTAGTTGCTTTTCTTATTGCGTTACTCAAAGTGACATATTAAAACCAATAAAAACATAAAAACATAACCATTCAAATAAAAAGCTAAACGCAGTTAAACAAAAATGGTAGTTAAGTGAGGCTTCCTGGCTTGTTTCCCTGCTCAAACAAGGGAGCAGCAAAGTGGCTGCCATGGGTACATTATGCTTGCTCATATCTCAGCTTTTTAAGATGAGATTTAATCATTTGAACAGGGCCACTGTGTTCCTTTGCGTTTTATGACAGTATAATGTGTATATTTTATGTTATTGCTTTTATGGCAGAACCACAACCTACAAGCATTAAAAAATGCCTAACACAATGTGCTCTAAAGTAAGTTAGTAAACCTGCAACAAAACATTGCTGTATCGTCCCAGCTGCTAACATGGGTAGGGAATCCCACAATCCTAATTAGGCCTGCTGGGCCACTTTGGGCAAACCACACCCACCCATCAGTCAGCTGATGTCGTATGCTATCAGGTGCAGAGATCTCTTATTTCTAGGCTAAGCACTAAGGATTAAGATTGGAGTTAAGGGTGAACACCACAGCACAAAGACCAGATATAGGTCTTTGACAGCATCTCTCACTTCTGATTTTGGCGCTGTGGGGCTAAGAAGAACAACAAGCAAAAATTGACCATGCTCAGAAATGCCATTTGATAAAATTGCATCCAAAAGAAGATATCTACTTGATTTCTACTAATCTAATAATTGCTAACTTAATGAAAATGCACATTATTTTTGTGAAGAATACAGCACGCATTGCAAATCTGGCAGCCATGCTGTGTTCCTTGTCCTATTCTATTCAGTGCCCAAACCCCAAAACACACTCCATTTCAAGTCTGAAATGACTGAAATTCTGCAATCATTTAATGGGATTCTCACAGGAGTAGTTTCATTGGATTGAGCCTGTAGGAGTTCACTGAAATTTACAAAGCTAAAACAAGTTCTAAAATTAACCTTTCGCTCAGGACTCTCAATCTGCATTTCTTGTTGGGATGTGAAAATAAATAAAGCATAAGTACATATTAAATCAGCATTTTTTTAACCAGACACAGAAAAACAATTGTAAGTCTCATTTTTTTAATACTGTTTAAAACGTTCACCTCCTCATCAGAAGCTAAATGTTGAATTGAAACTTCATTTTGACTGTGCGATAATTTTATTTCTTGTTGTGGGTCAACGTGAAGAGAAGCATCCCATCTGCGTTCATATGCATGCATGGTCCAGTCCAATGCATCCCAGACTATCAGCTCACCAACATGAGAGCCTGTTGCAAAAGTCAGATCTAGGCACCAAAAATATTAGAGTTTGCATAAATAAACACCTATTTACACAGAGGCTCACAAGCTAATCAGATAACAAGCAAAGTCAATGCAAATCGGGCTCTGCCTGGCCCATTTCCAACTGACTCGGGAGAACAGGACTCTGACAGACTTTAGCAACAAAGCCAGCCAAGGTTACTAGACTACCAAAATGTTTACCAGCCTGCTTTCCCACCTACACAAACCTACAATAGACATTAGTGGCTGTAATGCCTGGTCACCTGGAGGTACCGGTAAATTTCATTGGCCACATGGGACAACTATTTGCAAGCCTAAGTAAAACTCTAGCCGGTAGCTGGAGGAGAAAGCCAAACGTGGAAGCACCCTTTGTACATAAAATAAGAAATGCAATAAAAATTAAAGAGAAAAATACAATCTAAACAAAAATAGTAAAACTACTCTTATCATGTCTAACAAGCAATTGCACAAAATTCAAGCGCAGCAGAAGGCTGCACACTCACTTTTGCACTGCAGAGAGCTGATGGGGGGAGAGGGGAAAAAAGACAACTCTGAGTCCAGAAGTGTTTTTTGTTTTGTTTTTAATCCACCAGCCCTGCACCCCCACCCTGAGAATATCAGAATAATTACAGTTTTGCAGGGACATCTCATATATACCCTGGATAAGTATGGTGAATGTTGTTGATTCCACAGCAATGTTTCACACTGGAGATGAAGCTAAACACAAGACACTGCTTTCACATTTAAACTGACTCTTCTGGATTAAGATTATTAATTGTACTGTAAAGACTTTAACACTAGGAGAGCCAATATGGTATAGCGGTTAGATTAGAACTGATGAGACCCAGGTTCTAATCCTTACTCAGCCATGCAGCTTACTGAGTGACCTTGAGCCAGTCACCATCTCTCAGCCAAACCCACCTCATGCTTATTTCAAGGATAAAATGGGCAGGGAAGAGCCTTGCACCCTTGTCCAGAAGTAGGATGTGACCAAAATATAACCACACACTTATTTTAAGACCCATAAAAACATTATGCGTTTCATTCCAAATAAAAAAAGAAGTCACTGTACATGTAAGTTAATTGAAATCAGTTAAGCTTAACTGTCTTTTGATTGCTATCTCAATAAACAGACAAGCAACTTCATGTTGATTTAGGTACAGGCAAATCTATTGTGCAGAGATGTTTGAAAAAAGAAAAAGGTTTAACACAAATCAACTCAGCTGCATCTCAAATAATAAAAACTTCAGATAAACATTTAGTTACATTTGGGAAGCAACATAAGAAACTTTGTAATTTAAAAATGTGTCATGAGTTACTAGCAATTAAATTAGTAACAGTCTTACCACTGACACTGACCAACGATACAATATTGTCCTCATGGTCAAGAAGGCGCTTCACTTCGATGACATCCCATTCAGTTCCATCTCTGGAAGCTTTCAGTCTAAGAATGACTTCAAAGAGAAAGGCAGGCAACAGCTTGGCATTTATGAGAATACATATAATTAGGACCTGCAACAAAATGTTGCAGTGTAGCCTCACCTAACAGGAATGTTACTTTTCAGAGTTCCAGGCAGGATGGCACATTCTCCTCCAGAATACTCTCTTGCCCACACACCTCTTTTTCTATTTTTCTTTTCTAAGGACACTCAACATTTTGTGGCTATTGAGCATGCAGTGGCTATTTATCAAGCTCAGGGGAACCCTAAAGTTGACAGTAGGTTTTTTTTAATTAAAATAATATAAAATTTAAACACACAAGTCCTCCCAAAGCAGCACAAAGAGCACACTCTTTATGTTGTTTTGGGAGGACTTGTGGATTTAAAAAACAAAAGACTACTGCCAACTTTAGGGTTCCCCTGAGCATGATAATGTTTCTGGGTTCTCTGTGGTCCTGCCAATTTGGCTCCACTTCCATCAGCACTCACAGCCTCAGTTTTCTTCAGAAAGAATTATTTCTCTACAAGCAGAGGCGACTACAATTCTGATACGGAGATCCTTGTGTGCTGAACAGATAAGTAGCCCTGTTACTTCTGAAAGCACTGGTCACCTGACTAATGGGGCAGGTGGTACTTTGCTTGCTCCTGCAAGATTTAAGTCCTTTCAAACACGAAGGGGGTATTACAGGATAGATAGTTAAGAGACAAGTGTTTGGAAATCTAAGACCAAAGCTGTTGGCATGGTATGTATTTACAAAAACTATCTGTTGAAGACTTTAAGATCTCAATATTTTATTTGGTTTTGTATATTAAGAAAATGAAATAAATATATATATTTTTTAAAAAACCTACTCTTCTTGTTGCAGCTCCCTCAAGGACTGCTGCTTTCCATGTGCAATGTACTGCTGTACCAACATACCAAATAAATATTGATTGCCCTCCTTAATTTCAACCATTGCATGAAATCATTAAAATATACAACAGCATTATATCAAGGGACAGTAATACAAACACAAAGGCTCCAGGATTAAGTGGAATTAGTGCACAGGTGCTTGAATCTTAACCCCGGTAGACACAATGCATGTTCCTCCACATTTTAAAACATACAGAACACACAGCTAATAACAACATTCAAATATTTATTATACAGTATATAGCAATACTCACTCAGTTCTTTGCCAACTGCTGCTGCCACACAATTTTTAGGCAATTCTATCATAGCACTGATATCTTTATTAAGAAGATGGGGGGAGGGGGTAGACAGCAAGATATTTTATTACAAGTAAAAAGTGAATGCACACTCAATCTATTATAATTATTTCACAAAATTATAAAATACTATCTAACTTTCTTACAGGAAGGTTATTCAAATCATGAATTTCCATAAAGTTCTTCCTAAGAAAAAATTGAGGGAGGGGATAAGCTATACAAATCTCCCTTATATTTTCATAAAAGCCTTTTTCCTCTGTTTTTAGAACATGCAATTCAGCAAGTCTGTCCTCATTGAAAACTACAGAGCAGATTATGGTGTGCGAACTTTTAGAACACCTTTGTACACCTGCAAACCAAAAACATTTTGCAGCACATTCCTACATTATTATAAGCATCACGTTACTTTATTATATTCCAGTTACATTTCTGTATTTTGCTTATAGGGTTGGGTGGAATATTACAGCATTTATCTAATGCCTACAGTAGATGGCACTGGAAGAACCTAATTTAATTTCTAAAGGAATATATATTCATTTAGTGATTTATATATACTGACCCAGCTCAGTTAAGTTAAGTTAACATACAGTTACTGAAGTTTGACATATTCTACAATTCATAGGACACATGAGGCTCCAAGTGCTCTTAATTCAAAAATGATTACACTGACATTTTAAAAATAGAGGTCAGCTTCAATATATGTTATCTTTAGAATTAAAGGGACTTTGCCAATTTGATTTCGTGTCATTATATAGATCCATTTTACTTAACTTTAGCTGCTATAATGAGTCATTTACATTTTTACCTGCATCAATAAGATGACTTGTCTTACACAAGAGATCTAATTTTCGGTTCCAAACACACAGATCACTCCCTCCAGACAGCCATACATCCAGCCTTTGAAGAACTGTCAAACACTGTAGAACCAAGTCAAATAATCATATCATGTCTCATAACAAAGCTCTTTAGGAAATTTTTCAGTAAGATTGCCATCAGCTTTTTCAGTAAGGGTTTGGTTATTACAGAATCAACTTGAAATTCTATTTCCCAGCAACATTTCTTGTGCTTATAAAGTACAAAGAAAAGTGGGTGGACAATGGTGCTTGATACTGCAAGATCATACAAAGGAGGATATGAGGCAGACACAAAACCTGTCATCTTATTACTAAACTTTTGTTCAAGTCTTTTAAAATATTTTTATGCCAAATACTGTATATACAACAAGCTTTTCCATGAGATATTTTATTAAAAAAATACACGTTATATCAAGAGAAGGTCTCTAGTGGTGTGAATTCCAAGACCAATGAAATTCTCCAGCTTTTCAGAGGTATAAAATTAACTTTTCATGATTCACAGAAGTAGCTAGTCATAAAGGCCATGATACTTGACCATAGCTCTGAGACATGAAGACAAGAAGAGGGCAGACAGAACAACAAAAAATTCCCTACCTTTTCCACTGATGGAAGCTTTACTGTCAGCTGAGCTACATCACTGGATACACTGGAGTTTATTTTACGAAGTCAAGCAGGGTGGGTGATGTATCGATACATCATCCGAAATCTGTTAAGTCCATATTGTGGTAATGGTTTCATAATATTTGACATGGGAAATTACAGTGGTACCTCTGGTTACGAACTTAATTTGTTTCCGTTCTTAACCTGAAACTGTTCTTAACCTGAGGTACCACTTTAGCTAATGGGGCCTCCCACTGCTGCTGTGCCACCAGCACATGATTTCTGTTCTCATCCTGTGGCAAAGTTCTTAACCTGAGGTACTACTTCCGGGTTAGTGGAGTCTGTAACCCGAAGTGTTTGTAACCCAAGGTTTTTGTAACCCAAGGTACCACTGTACAATGTGTGTACTATGTAAAAGAATGGTAATGTGGGAAAAACTGTGAAGCCAGTCATCCCTTCTCTCATGATTCCTGCCACCCGTTGCTCTGTACTATAAAATAACAGCTGTAACACCATATGTTAAAGTTAAGTAAAGTGTATCAGTTTTAGAACCCTAAGTAGTAGCAGTTGCCAGGGCTTTACCTCTACATAGTTCCATCCTTATTTCAGACATCATGATATAGATATATTGCAATGTTAAGCTGGTAATATATCACAATGTTGAAAACCCGACATTGCTCAGCCCTAGCAGGGTGCATGCTTTTAAATAAATAAAAATACCTCAGATTTGCAAATCACATGAATTGCCCCTTAACTGCCACAATCAGTACACACAAATCAAAGCCAGTTTCATTTTTCTTACCTTTACTGTGGAATGAAAGCAGGATACTTTATGAACTTGCCTACCATTGTCACAATCCCAAACCTGGTTTCATTCATTAAGGATCTCAAGACTACAAGTTTAAGGCATGTATCCATATTCAAAGGCAGAACTATAGAAATGGAGATGCACACGCACAAGTGTATTATTTATTATTATTATTATTATTATTATACCGACCTATGCCCAGAAGTCTCAGGGTGGATCTACATAAAAACCACAATACAAATACTCAAAATAAAAACAACAACCCAATAACACCCCCCCAAAAGAGCCACATTTTTAAAAGGGCATAGGATGTCAATCAGATCAACCAAAGTCCTGGTTAAAAAGGAATGTTTTTGCCTAGAGCATTCCACAGACAGGGAGCCACTGCAGAGAAGGCTCGTTCTCCTATTGCCACCCTCCGGACCGCTTAAGGAGGCGACACATGAAGAAGGACCTCAGATGAGTCAGGGTCCAGGTAGGTTCATATGGAAAGAGGTGGTTCTTGAGGTATTGTGGTCCTGAGTCACTTAAGGCTTTGTAGGTCAAAACCAGCACTTTGAACTGGGCCTGGAAACTAATTGGTAGCCATTGTAGTAGGACTAGGATCAGTGTAATATGCTCAAACAGTCTTGCTCCGGTGAGCAACCTGGCCGCTGAATTCTGCACTAGCTGAAGTTTCCGGACCATTTTCAGAGGCAGCCCTACATATAATGCATTGGAAGGAATCTAACCTTGAGGTTACCAGAGCATAGACAACAGTAGTTAGGCTATCCCTGTCCAGATAGGGATGTAGCATAGGGTGCCACTGAAATTTGAGGCCCCAAGGTCCACCACTGTCACCCGCCACACAAATGTTGGCGGGAAAGGAGTACCAGCAGCACATCTCCCTCCCACAAAGAGTTGGGGTCTGGGTCAGATTAAAGGATACAATAACAGTTCTATCAGCACCTGCTGTCAAGATCAAGTGACATTTTTCTTCACAAGTATCTGATAGAGGAAAAGATGCAAGAGCAGTAATCTTTTGTGTATGTGCATGTAGCTCAAATAGCTTTTCTCCAGTCTGGAAAACAAAAAAGACATCTTAATGATCTGAATGAAATAAAATGTTATAGACCAATGCACATAACAGCATAATCCACTGGGATGTGATTTAATGGAGCAATGTGTAACTGGAAATACTGCTTTTACTGGTTTTATGTTGTATTTTCTTCATTTTCGTACCACTTACTGTTTTTATGTTGCAGGCTGCTTAGAGATTTTTAAAGTATTATGTGGCTTATAAACATTTTAAATAAATAAATAAATTAACGATTTCAAGAAGGTAACAGTCCTAACTGACACTAAAACTTCTGCATTGAAATAAGGTCAGGAACTTGGCATGGAATTATGGACTAAAGCATGTACTAGGGCTGGGCGATAACTGGTTTCAATGTCACAATATATCACCAGCTAAACATTGTGATATATCGATATATCACAATATCTGAAATAAGGAAGAAACCATGCAGAGGCAAACAGAACAATGTCCTGGCAACTGCTACTACTTATGGGTCTAAAACTGATAAATGATGATATTATCAATCACTTTATGGTCACTTTCAGCAGTAGGCAAGCCAAAATGAATCCAAATGAGACTTTGGTTCGGGGCTTGGCTACCAAATGGTGGTATTCATGACAATCCAAAGTACAGTGATGAATACAAATAATTTGTGAATACAAATAATTTGGGACTGTCAAGACTGCCAGCAGGCCTGCTAGGTGGCAGAAGCAGCATCACCTGCGAGGCCTTGTCGTGGTGGTGGCAGTAGCAGTGGCAGCAGGAGACGGTAGCAGAAGAATAGGTGGCCTTCAAGGCCTTGCTGAGGCAGACTGCCACTGCCTCCCACTACCACCAGGAGGACTTGCAGGCTGCTGCCACTTCTTTCTACCACGGCAAGGTTTTGCAAGCCCCACTGCTTGTGTTGCCACATGGTCTTGCAGGCTGCCTCTACTATTGCCACCATCTTCTGTTGCCGCTGCAAGGTCTCAAAGGCCGCCACCACTGCTGCCGCTGCCTCCCATCACTGCCACTGAGTCCTCGCCGGTCGCTGCTGCTACTGCCATCGCTATCACCACCACAAGGCCTCGCAGGCCGCCACTGTTTGTGCTGCTGCCATTGCACACATTGTGATTCGCCATTTATTGCTAGCTCAAATATTAAGAATCAATTATCATGATGTGAACTTCAAACCAGTTTTGGATGATATATCGCTATATCGCCCAGCCCTAGCATGTACATAATTCAAAATCTCAATTTTTATAAAATTCAGCATCCTTCTAGACATTTTCTGTGTTAGTGAACAGTCCAGTATTAAGGAAACATATCACAAGTACTAAAAGCTTTAAAACATTTCTCTCTCTTACACACACATTTACTTTATCCTTTATCTTTCAGATAGTTATAGAGCAACCTAGATAACTGCTAAGTCAGGAAATAAATGCTTAGCACATAATATACGCAATTCTATGTCAGGATAATGTCACAAAACATGCAATTATACTATTATTGCAGGGACATTACCTTAGTTTCACAGGAAGATGTCAAAATATAAATATTACATAGAGGGAGCTTATTGTGTATAGTGTTTACTTAACTAAAGTAAAATCGGTTTTATAAGGGTGTTTTAACTTGGAACTGTTTAAATTGTATTGTTTATGGATAAATTCTGATGTATTGTTTTCAATATGGGCCAATGGCCGCAATAAATAAATCTATCTAGAAACTGAAAATTTGAAAGTCAATTTTGTCTCCAACTTTTCTAATGAGAATTAGATAAAAAACTCAGTAGGGTCATTCAAGATTATTTACAAAATGGAGTTTTTAAGTTTGAACAACTGCTTCTGTGACCTTTTTTATTATCCAGTTATCTTTAATAACTAACTTTATATTTAGATAGCTCATGTGTAATGGAATAGCTCCAATTTAAACTTCACCTAATTTTCATCTGTATGCAATGCATTTCTGAACATAAACAAACCTGAGCATTCCACAAACATACAATCCCATCATCACCAGCAGATGCAAACCTGGGAAACAACAAATCAAAAATTAGATACATATATATAAAGGAAATGCTACATTTATATAGAAACAAAAAGAATAGAAAATGTTACCACTAACCATTCTTTAAATTATCTCACAGATAAGCACGGGGCAAAAACACATGAAAACATGATTTTAGTGGAAGCTGTTCCTAAAAATGTCTAAATCTTCAAAATTAAAAACAGTTTTCAATTATGCAGTGAAGGCGGTGAATGTCCTCTGTGAGGTCCTGTGGAGGCAGTTGGAGGGTGGATGGTGGCTAATGGATTGAGGTTGAATCCTGACAAGACAGAAGTACTGTTTTGGGGGGACAGGAGGTGGGCAAGCGTGGAGGACTCCCTGGTCCTGAATGGGGTAACTGTGCCCCTGAAGGACCAGGTGCGCTGCCTAGGAGTAATTTTGGACTCACAGCTGTCCATGGAGGTGCAGGTCAATTCTGTGTCCAGGGCAGCTGTTTACCAGCTCCATCTGGTACGCAGGCTGAGACCCTAACTGCCAGAGTGGTACATGCTCTAGTTATCTCTCGCTTGGATTACTGCAATGCGCTCTATGTGGGGCTACCTTTGAAGGTGACCTGGAAACTACAACTAATCCAGAATGCGGCAGCTAGACTGGTGACTGGGAGCGGCCGCCGAGACCACATAACACCGGTCTTCAAAGATCTACATTGGCTCCCATTACGTTTCCAAGCACAATTCAAAGTGTTGGTGCTGACCTTTAAAGCCCTAAATGGCCTCGGTCCAGTATACCTGAAGGAGCATCTCCACCCCCATCGTTCTGCCCGGACACTGAGGTCCAGCTCTGAGAGCCTTCTGGCGGTTCCCTCACTGCGAGAAGCCAAGTTACAGGGAACCAGGCAGAAGGCGTTCTCGCTAGTGGCACCCACTCTGTGGAACGCCCTCCCACCAGATGTCAAAGAGAAGAACAACTACCAGACTTTTAGAAGTCATCTGAAGGCAGCCCTGTTTAGAGAAGCTTTTAATGTTTAACAGACCACTGTATTTTAATATTTTGTTGGAAGCCGCCCAGAGTGGCTGGGGTATAAATACCATATTTTTCGCCCTATAGGACGCACTGGCCCATAGTGCCTGTGCACTACTCCAAGACCTTCTTCCTGCTTTTGCGGGAGGTGGCTATTTTTGGAGGGGAAATAGTGCGTCTTATAGGGCGAAAAATACAGTAATAAGTTATTGTTGTTATTTTTGTTATTTTTTTATTATTATTATTAATATCTCAATTCAAAAATGAACCACAGTCTTTAAAATAGTCTGAAATATGAAGCCCAGGATTTCACATGGAGGGCTCATAGCTGAACTACCAATCCAACAAATGGATTCTTTTCACCAAGCTGGTGTTTCATGGGTCACCTGATTCTTTTCCAGTCATGATCACCATCCTCTATAACCTTGTCTGCTTCCTGGAGGAGCAAGAAATGGTCAAACGAGCAACAGAAAAAGCTATTCTTAAAGTGTGTTATGAATTCAGTCTAGTTTAATGTGTCAAATGCTAGAGTATTACTTGCAATTTTATCTCATTCCATTTTTTGGAAGACTCTTGCTGAGGCTTAGCCTTCTTTAGTGATCTTGCAATCAATATGACCCTCTCTTCATGTTCAAAAACACAAAAGAAAAGAAGTGAAAAGCAGCTGTCGGTTAGGTTGATACAGGATTTATTTAGTATCTTCAGAAACCAATCTGAGAAAATTTTCCACTCACTGGTTTTAGCTGAGCCACCGAGAAAACAAGAAAATCCTTCTGCAAAATTCTCAATAAGATGATATTATCTAAAGAGCTGAAGCGTGAAACCTGGCTTACAACAGTCGACAAAAATGCAATGAAAAAACTATGAAAACTAAATAAAACCATTTCAGAAACCAAGTAACAATGCTAATGCTATTGGAAAGAATCAAACAAGGTGGTGGTGCCTGGTTAAAACAATGTTCTTAATGACTATATGCACGCAAAAGATTTAAAAAGTTGGAATACCTACCAAATTAAACTAGTCAAAGAATAAGAATTATTTTACTGCTTATATTAGATAAATGCATTATTTTTTTCTCGGTACATATACAACATTTTGGTAATCTGAGTATAAAACACCCAGTATTTTGAACCAGCTTTGCATTTTCCCCATATTTTTAGATATATTTCAAGCTGCTTGGTGACAACGGGAAGTCAGCTAAGAAGCCATGAAGTGCAAGGAGAAGGAAGTGGGAAAGAGAGAGAAAAGGAAGTACACAAGCCTAAGGCTCAGCTCTTCTCATGTTTGCTTGTGCATGTAGCTTTACATCTGAATGCGAAGATGTAACTACTTAGTAGCCATTTTGGCATACAAGGAGTATATTAATAAAAAAATATAATAATGAAGATAGTTTTCTCAGTGTAAAACTTTATATTAAAGGGAATGCACTAAAAGGCACCAAACTCCAACAATATTTATGGCGGTTATGGGATAATTTTTTCTGACATTACTGTGTCACATGAAGTATAAAGAAGTTGCAACCAAAGGTAAATCACTGATGATTGAGCGCCTAAAAACTGGCTCAGTACTGCACTGAGAGAAAATATGTAATGTAATTTCTGTAATAAATGGCTCACTCACGCATTAAGCTTTAGTATGTAAACTGCCAATACTTTGGCAAAAAATACTATTTAAGTCAAAATCAGTGGGGGGCATATTTTAATTAGATTTCACCTAAAAGTTTTGCAAAGATTCCCCTTCCCAATGTACACCCTAGATCTAAGCTACCTGTCATATATTCTTCAGTTCTGAGGAAAAGAAACAGAAGATTCAATTTTTAAGACTTTCAGCGAAATCATCCCTATGGTGCAAAAGGAGGTTATGAAAGTAATGTATTACCTGTAATCATCTATTGGCACTAGAAACCGCACTATATCATGATGACCTTTCAGCACAAGCAGCTCAGTGTAGGGATTTTGTGTTTGTTCTTCGCCAATGGTCTGTACAGATTTCTAGAAATCCACAAAGTCAGAAAAATAAAACTGTAAATCAACAAATTTGTTATCTTAATCTCTCTAGCTCATCAACAGATGTTTCTAATTACTTGTTTTCTTTTTTGCAATATGATTTATTCTTCAATAATCCTCCACAGTGTGATAGCTTTAAAATTCTAACTATGGTGCTAACTATAAAGCAGCTATCCCTCCAGCATTTTATCCTGGAGGAAGGAACCAATATGCCATGTGTTACTGCTGGATGAGGTAAGGGGTCTTATACTGTACCAAATATGATTAAAAAGGGGAACTGGTAGCGGGGACTCAGCAAACTTTATAGTTCTGTTCACTTACCATACAAAGCAGCTGAATGCAGGCACATGAAACTTGTTCAATTTTCATATTATCTGATCACCCAAACGCGGCCACTGAACTGGTTTTCACATACTGCTAGCCAAACCATAGCTTAGCATGAATGCATGAGCATGGCGGTTCTCAGAGAGATCACAACTGTTGTGATAAACCACAAGCCTGGATTCAGACAACACACTAAACCAAACCATGTATTTGCTCACAGCAGTGTTGCAGCAGCAGCAGGCCTGGAGGAGCAAAACAGTCAGTCTCCTCTCCATGAATACATCTGTTCACACTAAGTTTGGCTTAGCTTTACATGCAAACCAGCTCAATATCTTAATACCAATCCAAATGCAGCCAGTATCTTGATACGGTGGTTTGACATTATGATCACAAGCAGCATCAGACTTCCACTGACCCTTTACCCTTTCTCTGTAGAAAATCAGTTGTCAATTTGGCCAAACCCAGAAAGCTGTTACTCAAACATGGCTTTGAGATCCATGTTTGCCAGGTTTAGACATAACTGCAAACTATGGTTTGCTGCAAACTGAAATCCAGAGTTTCTGATCTCCCCTCACACGTTATGCTCATGATGCCAAGTCATGGTTTGCCATTACATATGCATGCAATAATTATATATAAATATAATGATTCCATGGAGGTTTTAAGCAGAGGTTGGATGGCCATCTGTCATGGACGCCTTAAGTGAGATTCGTACATTGCAGGGGGTTGGACTAGATGACCCTTGGGGCCCCATCCAACTCTACAATTCTACAATTCTATGAAATATTGTCATTATATATATACCCACATTTGGAATGCAGTTCCTGTTGCTCAGTCTCAGAAAGGTTATCACATTTAGGTACGGTAAATTACAGAACATGGTAACTAAAATGATCAAGGGGTGAGAAGCATCTTCTTTAGGAAGAAAAGTTTAACAAATCAGTGGTTTTTAGTTGGGGAAGGACAAAGAAAAAACATAACATAATTTCTTCAGAAATACATTAAGATTTATTAGAAATGGTATCAATATATAAATGTCTTTATTTTCTGTATCTTTTCCAATAGAGCTCAGGCCATCAATTCATTTGATTAGTGATAGGTTATAAACAAAACCAAGTGCCCCCACCGGAACACATCCTTAACTCAGTCTTGTATTTAAGCACCAGCAATAATAAGCATACTTATTGCTGTCCAGTGATAAACATTAAGGCACTGTATGTGGACAAGTACCTAGAATTTTGTGCAGTAAGAAAGGAATGAAGTGCTCCATCCCTCCTCTGTGATCAGTATAGAAACCAAATGGGCTGCCAGCAAAATCCCTCCTCTGCTAGTCCTCAGCAGACTAATACATTGGGGTGGGGTGGAGGCAGCTAGTAAATGCTTTGATTTTACAAGGCTGACTTGAGTAAAGGAACATTACCTCAGAATGTTGTGATGCAAATTAGCACAGATGGATTCTTTTAAGAAGCAGGCTTCGCTTCATGGAGAATTACAGTACTCTACAAATGACTTATCTATCATAGCTAAAAGGAAAATTCCACGTCTAGAGAAAGTATGCCTAATTGCCAGAGAGCAAACACTAAATGACTACATTTACCATGTGCTACTTGTGAACATCACAGGCATCTCTGACTGGCCACTGTGGGAGGCAATACTGGAAGCAATTCTTTTATAATAGCTTAAATTCTGATATACTGTTGGTAATCTGAACCCACCAAGACTGGTCTTAATCTATGCACACTAATAATATAGGCATCCCCAAATTAATTATTATCATCACTGCAAAAAGACTATCGGAGGAAAACAACAAGCGCCCACGCAGTATTATTAAGCGTTCGTGTTTTGAACGCGTCATTTGAGGAAGCGGCCCTTTCTCCACCCAGCAATACATTGAGCAAGAGCTGCTTGCTGCCTTCGCGGCGCGCAGGGCTCCGAAATGAGACTCGAGAGTCCCTCACAAGCGCCCACACCAACCGCCCCTTTTACCTCGGCCAATCCCTGCGGCTCGCGTCCCCCTCCTATGAGCCACCGCAGCATCGCGAGAGGTGGGGTCCGGGCGGCCCTCGCGGACGCGCCCTCGCCTCGGGTTGAAGCCGCAGCCTTCGCCCCGAGCGCGGCTCCAGTCAGTCAGCTGACGCTCTTGCTGTGAGGACTCGTCCCTCGCTTCCGTCCGCCCTGCGCCGCACGACGTTGGACTGCGCGCGCCGCCGGCCGAATAGGACGCGGGGCTCTTTTCCTTCGAAAAGGGACTCGCTAGCGCGAGCTTAATCTAAGGCAAAGCGTCGGCGACTTAATCGATCCCCGAATCTTCAGTGAACAACACAAAACGAAGCAGGGACGCGTCTTCCGCCGCTTTCCGCCCTTAGGATTGACCGCCGCGCGCTCGCGAGCTAGGCGAAGGGGTGCGAGTACCGAATCATCGATTCCCCCCCCCCCCCTGCGGCGCGCATGCTTTTAAACACGCCCACGAAGATCCCCTATTCTGTATGTGTAAATGTACGAGAGGTGTAAGGCGCCGGTGTTCCAGTTTAGGGTTGCCACTTTTTATACGGACAGAGTAATAACAAGTACAATTACAAGTTCATCAACATCATCACCAGGAGCAGTTTTCCTCCCCAATGTATCTTCGTGCCAGGAGAAGCTCGTGTTGGTTTTCTGCCTGACATACAGCTGTTAAAGTCTGTAAAAAACCCGTTTAAAAGGTGGGAGTCCCGGGTTCAGTGCCATACAGCTGTAATAAATTTCGATTTATTTGTGTATACTGTATATTTATAGCAGAATGGTTTATGCCCTCACGTGGAGCAGTCCTCGCCAGAGTGGTGGGTTCTTTTGCGGGAGTCTTCTGCAAGATGTCATTGATGGAATAATAATGCATGAGCAGGGAGATTATATATTGGACTGTCCACACCTCATTCTGCTTTATTAGTTCTGTGATGCGACTTCCGGGGGGCGGCGCGAACGGTAATGGCGGTCTTCTCCCGACCGGAGAAGAAGCTCCGCTGAAACCGGGTCGTCCGCTACGGCGAAGCGGAGACCCAACGAGAAAAACCCCAGGCAGCAAGAGCCTGGGGTCCTGAGGCTCGGCGGGCGCCAAGAGCAGCCCTCCAACTGCAGAAGGAGCCTCGTAAGAGGCTCCGGAGCGTGGAGGGGGGCTGCGGCGCTGTGAGCCGTTTCACAGTCAGCGGAGTGAAGCCGCGCTGCTGCTGCCGGTGAGCGCTGATCCCTTTTCCTGTTAAAATTCGGATCTGGAAGAAAACAACTTACTCGTGAGTAAAGACTGAATCACTTGGAATTACAAATTTTAAATGAGAAGGTTTAAATTGACTTGAATTTGGCTGAAAGCGGAGAGACGTGGAAACAGGAAGTCCGTCTTCCGCTGCCATTGAACTTGGAAAAAAAAGCAACTAAAGTGGAGGAGTGGAGGCTGAAAGAAAGAGATTTTAAACTCTACACAGCCAAGCATCTATGGAACTTACAATTTAAAGTAAAATTAGCAAGTTAAAGATTTGGACCTTTTATTTGCACTTGACTTCCCCCTTTTATTGGATTACAAATTGGAAGGTGAAACCCAGAGTCAGGATTGCTTGAGCACTGTAACAGTGGGCTGTCAGTGTTTGACTTGGATACTGTATATCAGAAGTTGCAACAATCTGAGGGTATTGAGACCTTTTAAATTTGAAACATTCTTTTTGGAGACAAATAAGCACTGTCTGCAACAAAGTGATTACTTTTAAACTCTGCTTAATACTTATATTGGAAGGTTCTGGGACATTAAATCAGACTCTGAAAAGACACTTTAAGCTCCCTCTAGAGGATTGGATTAAAACAGTGACTTTATAAAAACATTTACTTTCGATTCTCTTGTTGTCTGCATGCTCTGGGCCTCTCTATTCCTGTGGGAAAAACTCAGTGTGACCTTGACTGATAGATAACATTGGAATGAGTGGTACAAGAAGAAGAGGAAGAGTTAGACAAACAACTCTAACAAATCTAACCTCAGCCTCGCAGACACGTAGATCATCTGTGCCTACTTTGCCCTCAGAAGTACAACTTGAAGAAGCTGCCTTGCTACAGGCAAAAGAGGGAGAGGGTGAAGTAGAGCAGTTACAATTGGAAGATATGGCCTCAGGAGCATCTGTTTCTGTGCTAGAAAAATCTTTGAAAAATTGGAAGCTTTGGACAAGAAAGTAGATGCGCAATCAGCAAAGATTGATAAAAATACAGATTGTCTAAACAAATTAACTACACAGGTGGGACAGAATACACAAGCAATTGGACAGTTGACAGAGGCCTCAGTAGAAAACCGAAAATTGGCTGAGGATACCAGACAAAAATTGGAAAATTTAGAGCAAGAGGTAAGACCACTCACTAAACAAGTTGGGGAACATCAGACTTATCTTTCTATGATAGAACTGCGAAATCGTGAGAATAATTTGAGGATTAGATCATTACAAGAGGCAGAAGAAGGAAATCTAACTGAGTTTTTGACCAAAGAACTTTCCAAGTTCTGGAATTTGGAAGAAAAGGACTTTAAAATTGTGTCAGCTTTCAGACTTGGAAGATTTATAAAGAAGGAGAGGCCCAGGGATTGTTTGATTACATTGAGATCGAAGGAGGAAAGGGATAAGATTTTGGGCCTACATTACGAAAAGTCACTGGAAGTTTTGGATAGAAGAATTGAGATATATAAAGATATCCCAAGACAACTGTTGGACCTTAGAGCCGCCTATTCCGAACTTGCTAAACTATTAAGGAGCAACGCAATTCCATTCAGGTGGGATTTTCCCCAAGGATTATCTTTTACCTTTAGAGCGAGAAAGGTTAAAATTAGAACATTGGAAGAGAGAGATAAATTTTTGGCTACACACGGAGAGGACCTACATAAAGGAATTAATACTAGAAAAAGATGGAGACAATTGGAAATTGCAGAGCTTGGAGAAAATGAAAGACAAAGTGCGAGATTGGTTACACTATGCTCAGATTAAAGAAGTTTTTAAAAGTGATAAGAAACTAGGGTTCCAGGTGGAGAAATCGAAATTAGAAACAGAATTGTTAGAACCAAAGACTAAGATACTTTCAAGGATGTATAACTTGCTGTTGGAATGGAACACACAGGATGAAATGGTTAAATCGGCTATGATAAGGTGGGCACAGGATATTGGGTATAATATTATGTTTGAGGACTGGGAAAGGCTGTGGAGTAATGGATTGAAATTTACTGCATGTAATGCTTTGAAAGAAAATGTAATGAAAATGATTTATAGATGGTATATGACCCCAGTCAAACTTGCAAAAATTTACCACCTGTCTGACAATAAGTGCTGGAAATGCAAAGAGTGTGAAGGAACGTTCTTTCACCTCTGGTGGACATGCCCTAAAGTGAAGGCGTTCTGGGAAATGATTTATAATGAATTGAAAAAGGTATTTAAATATACTTTCACTAAGAAACCAGAGGCTTTCCTTTTGGGTATTGTCAGCCAAGGGGTGGCAAAGAAGGACCAGACATTTTTTATGTATGCAACAACAGCAGCAAGGATACTACTCGCAAAACATTGGAAAACCCAAGATCTACCCACACTGGAAGAATGGCAGATGCAACTGATAGACTATATGCAACTGGCTGAAATGACTGGCAGAATCCGTGACCTGGGAGAAGAGAGAATCGAGGAGGATTGGAAGAAATTTAAGAACTACCTACAAAAACATTGTGATTTGATTGAATGCTGAATAAGATGCTGGACTAAATAACTGAGCACCACTTAACTTAGAAACTTTTAAGGAAACAAGAAAAATTGTGAAAGTTTAACTCTTTATGAGAACCTTAAGATTATGAAATATCGAAGAGATATAAGAATTTAAATAAGATGATAAATTGCTGACAAAATGTTATAATGATGAAGGTGGGAGCGGGAGATGTGAGGAAGTCCAAAGAAAATGTGAAATTATGTTAAGACGAATGCTATATTGTTTATTACATTTATTCTTATTGTAAAACCTAATAAATTGCTTTAAAAAAAAAAAAAAATATTAGTTCTGTGATGCTCCCCCAGAGTTTGCTGTCTCGAGGGGCACACCTGAGCTATAGCGCAACAAAAGTGGGACAGAAAACCCAACCAACCAGTGCAGAACATGGGTGGTATGAAGATTTACCAGATTTCTGGACTGTGCATCTACTGAAAACTGAAAGAAAGTGCAAACAGACTTCTCCATAACAACCTTTGTATGAGATTCAAGTAGGTAGCCGTGTTGGTCTGCTGAAGTCAAAATAAATTAAAACAATTCTTTAAAAGGATAGTTAAAAAGATTCTTCTTAAAAACCTAAAAACTCCCTTAAAAGAATCAAGTCTTCAAAAAAATTATATGATCTAAGAAAGTCTTTAAAAGAATCCTTCCAAAAGAATTTAAAAATTAAAATGTAGCACCTTAGAGACCAACTGAGTAGTTTTAGGTATAAGCTTTCGTGTACATGCACACTTCTTCAGATACCTTTGTATGGAGAGCCATAAACAATGGATAGTACATGGTATTATCATCTCAGGAGGATAAAAAAATAATCAGGAAGGGTGTCACAGTTTGCTCTTTGAAACTACTTTTGTACAGACTTGGCTGTTACAGATTTTGGTCTGAAACTGGGACTAAATCCCTGCTTGATCATTTTTGCTCAATTCCACCATGGATAATTTTAATCGTCTTTAAAAAACCCCATGAAAAACAGATTTGGGGAAAACCCTGTATCCCAACACCTGGAGTGCTATATGGGACAAAAGCCCCTTCTACTCTGTGTCAGCCAATGAAGGGGTAAATTCTCTTGAAACCGTTCACTGCTGGTATCTCAGGTCAGTGCACATGGGGTGTGGGGAATGGCCAGGCTCAGTATAAGGCAGTTTCCTATTTTCCTATGTGATCTAGGGTGGGCAGACTTGCAAGAGCTGCTTGGTTGGGTTATTAGAATTTCCACCAACCAGAGCCTGGTGTAAAACAAGTACTGATGTTTTTGGCATCTGTCCATCTTGGGAGACAATGGAAGAGTGTGCCTTTGGGGGTGATGTCAAACCCTTGAAGAGCAATTGGTCCTGCTGTAACTGTAGAGACTGATACAGGAGAGACATGTTTTGTTGCAGGTAGGGTAGATGAAGGCGTCCAGATGTGCTGATGCAAGTGTACCATGGCATTTCTTCTTTTTGTGCTCCTCCCAGCAGTCATTTCTCCTCTGGTCACTGCTGTGCATAAATGACCTGATTGTATCCATCCACTGCAATTGTCTGCAAGGGATTCTCAGACAGCAGAGTTAATATTGTCAGCCTTCATGTCACATTTGAATACATCCTTGAAATGTAGAGATGGTCTGCCAATGGGCCTGGTGCCTGAAGCCAGCACCCTGTACAGCATGTCCCTGGGGATCCTGTCATCTTCCACTCTGTGAACATGACCAAGCCAATGTAGACATTGCTGAGACAGGAGTGCAAGCATGCTGGGAATGTGGGCTTGAGAGAGCACATCTTTCTTTGAGACTTAGAATTAAATAATTCTGAGTTCAGGAGTTTGTTTAGAGTACCAGAACTGAAAGAAGCTCATGGTCATTTCACACATAAAATCCCATTCCTGGCTCCTCCAAGATTTATTGATTTCAGGAATATAATTTTGCTTGTGGGGCAAATGATTTTGCAAATCATTGGGGGATCTACCAATAGATCATCCAGATTCACCTTTTGCCCACAGACCCCCTTCAGATATTTGTATTGGAATTTAGTATATGCTCAGAGTCACTCTGCCCTGATTTTTTAAAATATTAAAATTGACAAGCCCGGTTCTCAGCCTACATCCCAAAGGACCAAGGCCCACTTTAGTGCAAAATAAAAAGCAGAATAAGGAACTGAAAGGTAGGCTGGCAGGCAAAGCCTCAGTTCCATCCCCTGTGTTTAAAGAAAATTGCTATTGATGGGAGAGCTCTTAATGCAAATGAGCTAAAAGGAGCTTTTGCTGGCATATGACTTGGTGACTTAATTGAGCCCTTCTTTTTGTCATTTTTGTATTCAAGGAAGAACTTGTAGATTGCTTAATGGGAGCCGAGAGACGTGGTGTAGAATAAAATTCAACTGATCTCTCCCACAGCATCCCTAATAGCTTTTCATTCATAATTACAGTATTTCTAATGAGTGTTTTGGTGATGACAGAAATATACCATAT